GGAGAAATAAGTTCCAATTTCTGATTGGCTGGGCGAATTGCAAACCACGCCCCGTAAAACTATTTGCTGGCATTAGCAATATTAGCATTAGCCCCGCGCACCAACGGAGAGAGAATAACTTATGGCAACACAAACAAAACATGGGGGCGGTGGAGATGAGGAGGTGTCGTCGTTCTGGCGTTTTACTCGGGGGACATCCGGCCGGGGACTTCGGGCGGCAATATACGCCGTGAAGTGGTTTGCGGCCTGCCAGTAAACCCAAAGCAGAAGAAGAAGAAGTGACGTCAGCGGCATCATTTGCGTAACCTTCCCTCAGGGAACTTATTTCGGTGTGAACGCGATCGGCTCTTAGTTCCATGGGGGCACTAAGTGCTGGGAACTAAGTGCGGCAAAGTACTTGGTGTGAAAGCGGCTATTGATCCAGAGTCAGGTCTTGGAGGAACCGTTCCAGCAGAGGGCCCCAAACTTCCCTTTCCCTGGGAATATCAACCAGCTTCTTTTTTTTCTGTGTCTCAGCTGTATTTCAACCATGAATGCATTTTTTGATTTGTGTCATCCAACATGAGAAAAGCCTCCCAATTGCAATACAAAAATCATGAATCAGCATTACCCCAAAGTGCTCACACACCCCTTTGTGAGAAAAACTGATCCACATCATAAATCTCTGAAATAGTGTTTTCCTTTAACTTGTGGTCTGTGTGAGAACAATATGCTCCTTCTTCTGTCACTATAACCTAACCCTAATAATAAGAGATGCAGGCAGCAGCAGATAAAGCGTCCTTTCTGTGGGACACAAAGAGACATCAGCTGCTTCTGTCTGAGCGACACACACACACACACACACACACACACACACACACACACACACACACACACACACACACACACACACACACACACACACACACACACACACACACACACACACACACACACACACAGTGAATAAACTAAGATGATCTGACCCCTGGTGGCTGCTAGTCAGATGTCCTGCATGCAAACAGTTAGAAAGGAAGCATTATTGTTTAAAAAGCAAAGTGGATTAAATAATTTAGTCTTCTGGGAGTACCTGCATGAAATAAATACATAATTTCAGGTTTGTGTATATTTTACATTAAATGTATTACATTAATGCCATTTCCTTATTAAATGTGAACCATGTTATTCTGTTAAACTCCAAAAGGGGCAAAACATGTTCCCAAAGTTTGGCATCCTATCTTCACATTATTTTATTCTCACTTGTATGTATTTATTTATCTTCAACATCAGCCCAACATCTGTCTTAAAGGTCCCATGTCATGCTTTTCTGGTTATTACCCGTCCCCTTGTGTGTTATGAAGGTTGTTCTGCATGTAAACGGTCTGCAGTCACAAACCCTCAAAGTACACCCTGTAGGGAGTAAAACTCTAACACAGAGAAGACCTGTCTATGCTGCCCCAGAACGCCTCGTTGGAGATTTCTCTTTTTCCATTGTTTGCTTCTTGGGTATAGTGACGTATTTCGGGTATAGTGACGAAACGTAGCGTAACGGCTCCGCGGATTGGTCCATTTGGACACACTCGGCGGGACGTTTCGAGGCTCGCTGCTGCGAGGAGCACTGTGAGCTGACTCACTGGTGTGGGGTCGGCGAGACAGCGAGACACCGCGGAACTCAGACACACAAACTCCCAGCCAGGCTGCGGGTGTGTGTGTGTTTCGGGCTGGGTTCGCTGTTTCGCTGTCTCGCAGGCGGCCACTGGGCTCACAGGGAGGGGGGGGGGGGCAGGAGCTCCAACAAGCCGTGTAGGACAGAGAGTGAATACACAGACTATACAGAGATGCTGTTGAGAAACCAATGTGAGTTTGGAACATTGAACAATGTAAATCTATTCTAGTAGACCTCAATGATGGAATTATGATCAGTAGAAATGGCCATGACATGGGACCTTTAAACACCCTCCTTGCCTTTAAAAGTCTGACTGGTCTTAAATCAAATGGCATTTGTGGTTTAATAAAATATTGAAAGGATGTATTTGTTTACATGATGTTGCTGTGATAGCTGTGATGTTCAAGTGTACACACTGATAATAGCCTGTCAGTCATCCACTGAGTGTACATTTTAAGTTGTACACTGTAAAGTAAACATTAATCGAATCTGTCACCACCACAGTTTTAGACTATTTTACTTCAATGTTGCAGCAGAAATGGAAGGAGGACAAAATGTTCTCACCTTTGTGTAAAGTCTTCATGCAGCTCTATCTGCAGATAGCTGATTCATACCTCTTAATGTCTGCAGAAAAACCCGATGCTTACTATGTATTTTTCCTCCTCTTTTCTGATTCTAGGACACCGGAAGTCTCGCCTCTGCTGTCTGCGCAACAAGTGCATCACGTTATTGGTGAGAAATACGCAATCACCTTACGTAATGTGAGTATCAGTGTTGATGTGTAGGCGGATAAAAAAACTACTTAAAGCTGCTCACTGTGTTTCAGTAAATATGTCCTTCAGAGCCTCGTTCAGCTGTTAGATAACAGGGTTTATCTAGCTCACGTGTCTAGCTCACAGCAATGATATTTAATAAATAAAAGAATACAAAATAATCACACCTGAAGACTTTACATGGAACAACACACCAGATAGACACAGCTGACTGAAGCTGCGCGTCCTCAATAAGGTTATTAAGGATATTGATCATGCACACACACATTTTATTTGACCAGAAATATATGAAATGTTACCTTTGGGGCAGGTGGAAGTGGCCAGTGTCTGTCCGGTGCAGGAGGCTCCATCCTGCAGCACCGCCGCTTCTTAAAGCGACAGCAGGGCACCAGGCATCCGGGAATAACGCTTCATCTGCGCATTACTGATGTCTGTGTGACCGCTGAGGTGATGCGCTCCGACAGGGAGGAGGAGGGCAGAGTGTGTCTGTCCAGCGGGAGGGGACTGGGACAGAGAGGAGCTTCTACTCACTTATGTAAGACACATTTAAAGCAAACTTTCCTTTATCCTTAGGGTTATAGGCTACTGGTGCACCTGCGCATAACATTCATTTGTAACTTGTATATCATCATTACTTCTATACTCTATGCATTACATCAATGCACACAATATTTTGTATTACTGCCGATTTGTATTCCTTCTTATTTCATTGCAATGTAAATACTGTTATATTTTACTTTATTTTTAATACTTTCTAGTTCTCTACCTGTTTTTATGCACCACGACACCAAGTCCAATTCTTCGTACGTGTAAACCTACCTGTTTCTGACTATTCTGTGTTATTGTGTTGCTCTGTAGGAGGAGCCTGTGACCTCAGATTTCCATTGTCATATCTACACTGTAGCTGCTGAACCATAGACTGTATATATAAAGCCTTGAACCTGCAGACAGAGGAGGAAATGTTTCTGTCATTTCTTACAAATTCTTTATTCTATCATTCAATTTACTCCGAGTTACTTAATAGCATTTTTTTTTTCAAATGTAAGGATTTTTCAATTCCTTAAAATTAGGGCTGTCAGTCGATTAAAATATTTAATCGCGATTAATCGCACATTTTTGATCTGTTCTAAATGTACCTTAGAGGAATATTTTTCAAGTTTTTAATACTCTTATCAACATATGAGTGGACAAATATGCTTTATGCTAATATTTATTATCATTTGAACAATGACAAATATTCTCATGAATATGAAACACAACAACCTCTGAACATTACAAATATTCGCCTCAATTCAACCTGGAACCTCTCTCATTCAATAATACAATACAACTGGTGTGTGTGTGTGTGTGTGTGTGTGTGTGATGGATCGTTGGAGCTATGTGCAACTCAAGGCATATGCTCGAACGGGAGCTGCCTGGACGCTGCAATCATGTTGCGCTATCCGTGCTGACTTTTCGTACAATGCCCCACTGTCTGGCTTCCTGCATAAAGTCAAGTGCTCGGCGCAGTTGTGGCGAAATGTCGCTCCTCTGTTTTCATTTAAACAGCTCCTTATATCCGTTAGCGCAGCTAGCTAGCACCAGATGCTAACAACAACAACAATGCACGTAAGGTCTCTCTCTCGCTCGGGCCACACATACACACACCCTCCCGGTCCTCCCAACAGCCAGTCGGTGCCTGCCGGTGAGCGTGGAAGTGTGGTCTGCCACAAGCGGGCGGCAGGAGCGGGACTGTCAGCATCAGCTTGTAGATGGTATTTTAAACTCGATGCGCTCTGAAACTACGGGGCGGCCGAGGACAAAAAATACACATGCGTTAATCGCGTTAAAATAATTAGTGGCGTTAATTTGACAGCCCTACTTAAAATACAAGGAGCCAACATTAAAACAAACATCTAATCAAGTAGACGATCTGAGTACTTCTACTTTTACTCAAGTACAATACCTGAGTACTTTTACTCAAGTACAAGATCTGAATACTTCTACTTTTCCTCAAGTACAATATCTGAGTACTTCTACTTTTACTCAAGTACAATACCTGAGTACTTTTACTCAAGTACAAGATCTGAATACTTCTACTTTTCCTCAAGTACAAGATCTGAGTACTTCTACTCAAGTACAAGATCTGGGTACTTCTACTTTTGCTCAAGTACAATACCCGAGTACTTTTACTCAAGTACAAGATCTGAATACTTCTACTTGTACTCAAGATCTGAGTACTTTTACTCAAGTACAAGATCTGGGTACTTCTACTTTGACTCAATATCTGGGTACTTCTACTTTGACTCAATATCTGGGTACTTCTACTTTGACTCAAGTACCACATCTGAGTACTTCTACTTTGACTCAAGTACCACATCTGGGTACTTCTACTTTGACTCAAGTACCACATCTGAGTACTTCTACTTTGACTCAAGTACCACATCTGAGTACTTCTACTTTGACTCAAGTACCACATCTGAGTACTTCTACTTTGACTCAAGTACCACATCTGAGTACTTCTACTTTGACTCAAGTACCACATCTGAGTACTTCTACTTTGACTCAAGTACCACATCTGAGTACTTCTCCCACCTCTGAAATACACAATAAACCCACACCCACTCTTGCATCTATTTTAATTCAATCCAACAACGACACAGAAAGTTATTTACAATTTCAGAAAAACATTCAACTGAAAACTGAAGACTTTTTACAAAATGAACTCCAAGAAGGCGAAGAGAGAGAAGGGGAAGATGTCAGCAGAAAGCACAGGACAACATTTATAAAATACAGAAGTTGGAAGTAGTCAATTAGGTCTATTAAAATATTTAGAATGGGTCCTAAATCTCCACGGGTGTTACTGAACGCTCAGACACAGAACAGGAGTGAGAACTCTCTGGATTTGAGATGCGGGAAACAAATAACAAGAATATGAAACCAACAGATAAGAACTACGTTTCACATTCCAAACTTCAGTCACATACAAACAATGCTGCTTAAACTGTGAGAATAAATACAAATAAGTTATATATTTCTGTTATAAATACGCAGCGACAAACTGTAACACCAGAGTCAAACGATGCGTCTGACGGATAAAAAACAGTGAGATTTGACATTTTGTTACTCAGAAGATCACCTGGGATCATCTTGAAACTGACATAGTAACACACGGCCGATGGAGTGAACGCAGTGTCGTTGGTGAACCTTGTGTGTGTGTGTGTGTGTGCGTTACTGCTCCCAGAACGTGGGTCCGGGCGAGGCGATGATGTCATCATACGGCGCGCTCTGCTGCAGCTGGATCGAGTTCTGTTTCTTCAGAGCCAGGAAGCAGAAGAAGGTCGTGGCCACCTGGAAACGAGAGCGTCCTTCACACAACTCCTGGAGACTGAAGAGGGGGGACGTGCTGCTCTGGATCTACACACACACACACACACACACACACACACACACACACACACACACACACAGATAGAAACACACACACCACACACACACACACACACACACATAGAGACAGACACACACAGACACACATTTAATATCCCAACATCCTCCCTAATCCTTCTCATTCTGGCCTCACCGTTTAATCCGCTGTGAATGTAGATTTGTATCTGACATTCGATGTTAAGCAGAGGACGAGGACAACGAGAGGTTACAAATATAATAAGTAATAATGTGGAGCTGGAGAAAGTTTGGAGGAATACTTTCAGAGATAATGAATTGAATAATCTCTGGGATTAAAGCGGTACCTTTTCAGAGGGGAATAAATCTGAATTCACTAAAGAAAACTTTAACATGTTCTGAGATTATAAAGCTCCAAAGCTACGAGAAATAACTTGATATTCTGAAATCAAGTCGTACTTTTTCTAGGAACCACAAGGGCTTCACTTTGTAAGATGCTTTTTGTTTTCAATGCTATCCCAATCTGTGTTCTTAATACAAGGGCAATTTGTACATACATATATACACATTTGAATTATATACACATTTGAATTATATACACATTTGAATTATATACACATTTGAATGATATACACATTTGAATTATATACACATTTGAATGATACACACATTTGAATGATACACACATTTGAATGATACACACATTTGAATGATACACACATTTGAATGATACACAGCTCTGAAAAAAGAATTAAGATACCAATGCAGCATTATCAGCTTTGTTTACAGGGTTCTTACACCTTTTCCAAAGTCAAGCACTTTTCAAGCATCTTACAGCTGTTGTAAATTACATATTTATATACTTCTACTCAAATGATTATTTCCCTACCTCACATTAAATCAGATGTTCTTTATGCTGTAAACAACCAAATGTGTGTTTCGTGATAGCCTTCTACACGAGGATGACAAATTAAAGACAAGAAAACTAAGTGACCAAAATGGCCTCCCATATAACCTGGCTGAGCCGATATACAACAATCAGCCAAATAACTTTTCAATACATTATTGATTAATATTTTTGAGGTACTTTTAGATTGGCAGTGAACATAAGTCAGAGGTACATGGTGTACTTTTACTCCTCTACATGTATTAATACCTTTAGTTACTTCACAGATGTGGATGAATGATGTGAAATATAATCAAGTGTTGAATCAGACTTTAGTTCCACCTGGAGTAAATCCACAAGGTACCCTGCAGTATACAAAGCCATTCAGACTAGCTGCTCCTTTACCAGCTTCACAGCCAGCATAACAACATTCTTGTGAGTGTTTCCCCGGTACACAAACACAATACACAAAAATACACAAACACACACTCACTCGCGAGCTTCCCCCAGACCAGAAACGGCACGAAACATACTACCAGTAGAAATACATTGCCTTTAAAATCGCTCTGTGTCGAATCAATAGATTATATTTCGTGACTATAACACGAAATGCCGTGAGACTGGGTTGAATTACAACAGTGAGTGCTTCATCCTCTGAAACACCACAGTTGTGACATCACTTACGCGACTACGTATTTTTCATCGTCTTATATTTCAACAGTTTTACGATAAACTGTGACTTTTTTGACATGAAATGATTTTGTAAGATTGACAAACCTCATGTGTAATTCATGGCACAGTTCAAACGGGATCGAAACATACGTCTTCTCTCTCCATTGACTTCAATACATTATTTTTCCGAAATAAGGTCCCATGGACCGGAAGTAGATGGGCGTGACTTCGCCTCTCTATATGATCATTATAGTTATAAAAAAATAAGAGAATAAAGTAAACAGGTATAAAATACTATATGACAGTAAAAAAAAGTTGTTATTAATAAACAAGAGTTTCAAAGGGGAGAGATTTGTAAAATATCCATAAAGAAAAATAAAATCTGCTTACAGGTCTGTTTCATCTGGTGTTGAGAGATGTATCCATAGGGATAGTTGGTGTTACTGGGGGGGGGGGGGGGGGGGACAGTTCACATGCGCCGTGTTATGCATGGCTGCTGCACCTCGCGGGAGCGTGCACAGCGTAAAGCCAAACTCACAGACATTTCAATGATTCGTACGGCAGTTAGGTTTGGAAACGGTATGATTTCCTTTTTGGAGGGCATGCATGATAACGCGGCATAACACCGGAGCCTCGCTGCGGGGAAACTTTGGCGCTGTTCCGAGTTTGTTCTAATCTGTCAAAATGACGGACTGCTTTCAGATTTGTCCGTCATTGTTAAAATAAATCCGTCATAGACGGAAAATATTCGGTTAACGCGACCTCTGATCCTTACCTTTAGTGCGTGGTGGAGGTTCTGAGTGCGTTTGGTCAGCTTCCTCTCCTCGAGGTCCTGGCTCTCCAGCAGAGACTGCAGGCACAAAGAGAAGAACACCTTTCAGTCAGTGGAGCACCTCCAGCAAAGCATCATGGGAAATGAAACCTCGCCATCTGGCAAACGCTGATAGATTTGCCTTTTTTACGAGTTCTTTATTCTATCATTCAATTGTTCAATAGCTTTGTCTTTCAATTTGCTCCGAGTAACTTGGAAGCATTTTTTTTGTTCAAATGTAAGAACTTTTCACGGATTCACACCCAATTCCTTAAAATACAAGGAGCCAACATTAAAACATCTAATCAAGTACAAGATCTGAGTACTTCTACTTTTACTCAAGAACAAGATCTGAGTACTTTTACTCAAGAACAAGGTCTGAGTACTTCTACTTTTACTCAAGAACAAGATCTGAGTACTTCTACTTTTACTCAAGAACAAGATCTGAGTACTTCTACTTTTACTCAAGAACAAGGTCTGAGTACTTCTACTTTTACTCAAGAACAAGATCTGAGTACTTCTACTTTTACTCAAGTACAAGATCTGAGTACTTTTACTCAAGAACAAGATCTGAGTACTTTTACTCAAGAACAAGGTCTGAGTACTTCTACTTTTACTCAAGAACAAGATCTGAGTACTTTTACTCAAGAACAAGATCTGAGTACTTCTACTTTTACTCAAGAACAAGATCTGAGTACTTCTACTTTTACTCAAGAACAAGATCTCAGTACTTTTACTCAAGAACAAGATCTGAGTACTTCTACTTTTACTCAAGAACAAGATCTCAGTACTTTTACTCAAGAACAAGATCTGAGTACTTCTACTTTTACTCAAGAACAAGATCTCAGTACTTTTACTCAAGAACAAGATCTGAGTACTTCTACTTTTACTCAAGAACAAGATCTGTGTACTTCTACTTTTACTCAAGTACAAGATCTGAGTACTTCTACTTTTACTCAAGAACAAGGTCTGAGTACTTCTACTTTTACTCAAGAACAAGATTTGAGTACTTTTACTCAAGAACAAGATCTGAGTACTTCTACTTTTACTCAAGAACAAGATCTGAGTACTTCTACTTTTACTCAAGAACAAGATCTGAGTACTTCTACTTTTACTCAAGAACAAGGTCTGAGTACTTCTACTTTTACTCAAGAACAAGATTTGAGTACTTTTACTCAAGAACAAGATCTGTGTACTTCTACTTTTACTCAAGAACAAGATCTGTGTACTTCTACTTTTACTCAAGTACAAGATCTGAGTACTTCTACTTTTACTCAAGAACAAGATCTGAGTACTTTTACTTTTACTCAAGAACAAGATCTGTGTACTTCTACTTTTACTCAAGTACAAGATCTGAGTACTTTTACTTTTACTCAAGAACAAGATCTGTGTACTTCTACTTTTACTCAAGTACAAGATCTGAGTACTTCTACTTTTACTCAAGAACAATGTCTGAGTACTTCTACTTTTACTCAAGTACAAGATCTGAGTACTTCTACTTTTACTCAAGAACAAGATCTGAGTACTTCTACTTTTACTCAAGTACAAGATCTGAGTACTTTTACTTTTACTCAAGAACAAGATCTGTGTACTTCTACTTTTACTCAAGTACAAGATCTGAGTACTTCTACTTTTACTCAAGAACAAGATCTGAGTACTTCTACTTTTACTCAAGAACAAGATCTGAGTACTTCTACTTTTACTCAAGTACAAGATCTGAGTACTTTTACTCAAGAACAAGATCTGTGTACTTCTACTTTTACTCAAGTACAAGATCTGAGTACTTCTACTTTTACTCAAGAACAAGATCTGAGTACTTCTACTTTTACTCAAGTACAAGATCTGAGTACTTTTACTTTTACTCAAGAACAAGATCTGTGTACTTCTACTTTTACTCAAGTACAAGATCTGAGTACTTTTACTTTTACTCAAGAACAAGATCTGTGTACTTCTACTTTTACTCAAGAACAAGGTCTGAGTACTTCTACTTTTACTTAAGTACAAGATCTGAGTACTTCTACTTTTACTCAAGAACAAGATCTGAGTACTTCTACTTTTACTCAAGAACAAGATCTGAGTACTTCTACTTTTACTCAAGTACAAGATCTGAGTACTTTTACTCAAGAACAAGATCTGTGTACTTCTACTTTTACTCAAGTACAAGATCTGAGTACTTCTACTTTTACTCAAGAACAAGATCTGAGTACTTCTACTTTTACTCAAGAACAAGATTTGAGTACTTTTACTCAAGAACAAGATCTGTGTACTTCTACTTTTACTCAAGTACAAGATCTGAGTACTTCTACTTTTACTCAAGAACAAGATCTGTTTACTTCTACTTTTACTCAAGTACAAGATCTGAGTACTTTTACTTTTACTCAAGAACAAGATCTGTGTACTTCTACTTTTACTCAAGTACAAGATCTGAGTACTTTTACTTTTACTCAAGAACAAGATCTGTGTACTTCTACTTTTACTCAAGTACAAGATCTGAGTACTTTTACTTTTACTCAAGAACAAGATCTGTGTACTTCTACTTTTACTCAAGTATAAGATCTGAGTACTTCTACTTTTATTCAAGAACAAGGTCTGAGTACTTCTACTTTTACTCAAGAACAAGATCTGAGTACTTCTACTTTTACTCAAGTACAAGATCTGAGTACTTTTACTTTTACTCAAGAACAAGATCTGAGTACTTCTACTTTTACTCAAGTACAAGATCTGAGTACTTTTACTTTTACTCAAGAACAAGATCTGTGTACTTCTACTTTTACTCAAGTACAAGATCTGAGTACTTCTACTTTTACTCAAGAACAAGATCTGAGTACTTCTACTTTTACTCAAGAACAAGATCTGAGTACTTTTACTCAAGAACAAGATCTGTGTACTTCTACTTTTACTCAAGTACAAGATCTGAGTACTTCTACTTTTACTCAAGAACAAGATCTGAGTACTTCTACTTTTACTCAAGAACAAGATCTGAGTACTTCTACTTTTACTCAAGTACAAGATCTGAGTACTTTTACTCAAGAACCAGATCTGTGTACTTCTACTTTTACTCAAGTACAAGATCTGAGTACTTCTACTTTTACTCAAGAACAAGATCTGAGTACTTCTACTTTTACTCAAGTACAAGATCTGAGTACTTTTACTTTTACTCAAGAACAAGATCTGTGTACTTCTACTTTTACTCAAGTACAAGATCTGAGTACTTTTACTTTTACTCAAGAACAAGATCTGTGTACTTCTACTTTTACTCAAGTACAAGATCTGAGTACTTTTACTTTTACTCAAGAACAAGATCTGTGTACTTCTACTTTTACTCAAGTACAAGATCTGAGTACTTCTACTTTTACTCAAGAACAAGGTCTGAGTACTTCTACTTTTACTCAAGAACAAGATTTGAGTACTTTTACTCAAGAACAAGATCTGTGTACTTCTACTTTTACTCAAGTACAAGATCTGAGTACTTCTACTTTTACTCAAGAACAAGATCTGTGTACTTCTACTTTTACTCAAGTACAAGATCTGAGTACTTCTACTTTTACTCAAGAACAAGATCTGAGTACTTCTACTCAAGAACAAGGTCTGAGTACTTCTACTTTTACTCAAGAACAAGATCTGAGTACTTCTACTTTTACTCAAGAACAAGATCTGAGTACTTCTACTTTTACTCAAGAACAAGGTCTGAGTACTTCTACTTTTACTCAAGAACAAGATCTGAGTACTTCTACTTTTACTCAAGTACAAGATCTGAGTACTTTTACTTTTACTCAAGAACAAGATCTGAGTACTTCTACTTTTACTCAAGTACAAGATCTGAGTACTTTTACTTTTACTCAAGAACAAGATCTGTGTACTTCTACTTTTACTCAAGTACAAGATCTGAGTACTTCTACTTTTACTCAAGTACAAGATCTGAGTACTTCTACTTTTACTCAAGTACAAGATCTGAGTACTTCTACTTTTACTCAAGTACAAGACCTGAGTACTTCTACTTTTACTCAAGAACAAGGTCTGAGTACTTCTACTTTTACTCAAGAACAAGATCTGAGTACTTCTACTTTTACTCAAGAACAAGATCTGAGTACTTCTACTTTTACTCAAGAACAAGGTCTGAGTACTTCTACTTTACTCAAGAACAAGATCTGAGTACTTCTACTTTTACTCAAGTACAAGATCTGAGTACTTTTACTTTTACTCAAGAACAAGATCTGAGTACTTCTACTTTTACTCAAGTACAAGATCTGAGTACTTTTACTTTTACTCAAGAACAAGATCTGTGTACTTCTACTTTTACTCAAGTACAAGATCTGAGTACTTCTACTTTTACTCAAGTCCAAGATCTGAGTACTTCTACTTTTACTCAAGTACAATCCATTGTTAGCTCACTTTCAAAAGGTAAAGCCAGTAATATATACTCCTCGTGACTCGTTTACAATGTCTGTATTTAGGCAAGGCAAGTTTATTTATATAGCCCCTTTCAACACAAGGCGATTCAAAGTGCTTTACCAACATGAAAGACATTAAGCTCATTCAGATATAGTGCAGTTGAAACACATTTTTAAATTAAAATTAAAAAGCATAGATAATAAAAGAAACATAACAAATACAAGAATATTAGTCTTTGGCCTTTAAAACCATTTTTCTTTTGAATTCCCAGAATATTTAAACCAGTTTTAAGACTTTCCCGCATCAATAAAAGTTACAGTGCAGTTTAAGATGTGAATAGTTCAATTAAAAGCAGCGGCAAAAAGAAAAGTCTCCAGCCTGGATTTGAAAGTAGTCAGAGTTGCAGCGGACCGGCAGGTTTCTGGGAGCTTGTTCCAGATGTTTGGAGCATAATAACTGAACTTCTCCAGCTTTAGTTCTGACTCAGGAAGCTGACCTGAAGACCTGAGAGATCTGGATGGTTCATCATTTAGCAGGAAGTCAGAAATGTATTTTGGGCCTAAATCATTCAAAGCTTTATAAACCAGCAGCAGTATTTAGGAATCAATGATTTGACAGACAGGAAGCCGGTGTAAAGACCTCAGAACTGGACTGATGTGACTTTCTTATTTACTGTTTATTACATCTGTATTTAACGTCTATATGCCTGAACCCCTGCACCTTATATGCTCTAAATCCGCACCTTATCAAAAAACACTTATTCATATTTACACACATTGATCTGATCTGTGACTTTATTGAAGCCTCGTGCACTCTCTTTGCACTCGCTGGTTGGATGCATTTCATTGTCCTCTGTGCAATGCCAATAAAGTTGAATCTAATCTAATATGTTTGTTGTTGTGTGTGTTCAGGCACCTGAGTGTTGAGGGAGGAGGACTGAGTCTGCAGGCAGGACGGATGGACAAACATGGAGTCTTCTGAGGGAAGTTCACAATGAGTGAACTCAGACATGTTCCCATCCTGACAGACACGAGGAACACACGGTAAACCACACATGGAAACGGTAAAATGGCACCATGAATGAATCTAAATCCTGACTTACTTCTCGGAGCTCAAAGTTATTCTCCCCTTGATTATCAGTCATGTGACCGAGGTCGCTCACATCCGTGTTGTGCGTTGTTTCCTGATCTATCGATGAATCTACGACGGTGACGTCCGTGTTGATGTCCCTCTGAGCTATATGTCATCACATAAAGCAGATTACATACATATGGACAACACCAATGATAAAGAAAAAACAAATTAGATTTGAAGTTCCAACCATCTCCTCCATCCTCGCGCATCACCTCGTCCTCCTGATGCACACCCGAGGGTTTCATCTGGAAAATAGTCTTGGCAAAGAACTGCAAAAGTAAAACTAGATCAGATGGCAGTCATTTCACTTCAAAGGAAATGTTTACTATTTCTTGTTTTATTGGGCCTCTTTAAGCCCTGAGCCTGTTTTTCAGGTCTCAGGCTCGAAAATGACATTCCCAGAACAAATGACCATAACTTCACTTCTAAAAAGGGGTACATTAATAATCTTTTTTCTCAAAGCAAGGTTACATCTGTGAGTTGGATGTAGAAGTGTCAGAATCAATATAGATGTTTTTATTTTAAAGTCAATTCAGATTGAACACAGTAAAACAATTTAAATTATTGTGTCCGTCCAAAAAGAAACCATCCATCCATCCATCCATCCATCTTCTCCCGCTTATCCGTGGTCGGGTCAAAAAGAAACCATTCTTACTTATAGTGAAAACCACCCTTGAATGATGGGATGGTAGAATAAAAGCTGTAGGAATCCAAACTATAACATATAATAAGTACCCTGTATCAAGATTGATGCAAAACAAGTGACCTTTGACCTTTTTAGAGAGATTTAGAACAAAAAAAACACTTCTGGGGTCATTTGGGTGCATTTTCCATATCTCTGGCCCCCCTCGTTCGATTTTGATGATTGACATCTCTTTCTAACCGTTAGAGCCAATAGAATCGAAGGGGAAGTTCCTAAAATCCGTCTAAACATTTCCCATTGGTGAATGAGTGATGCGTAGCCAGAATGCCCAAAACCGGAAGCTGTCATACACTCTGGTAGCTATCATAGCAGCTATATATAAAATCTCCGTTATTGACATAAAAATGGAATGATGGATTATCAGTAATCATTTCAAAGTGACACAGACACATTGGATTAACCTGTGGATTAACCTTCAGCAGCGTTTTTATCGTTGTAATGCCATTGAACACAACTTTTGATCAGAATAACAGCTAAGGTAAAACATATTTGCCATTTTTGCTACCTAAAGCTACGTTGTGTGATGTCTGGGTTTGCTTCCCCTGCAGTTTTGATCGCTCAGTGATGATACTAATACCGCTAGAATCTGTGGAATCTCAGCTTTAATCTGATATCTTGTTTGTGCAGATCCGATAAGTAAAAAAGTATTTCTACCGTGAGTTCTGTGCTAAGGGCTAATTCAGAGGCTCGGCGTTAGACTTGTGTTTTGTTTAGCTAAAAATGGTTCATATCGTCAGTTAGCTGAGTTTCTTCCCGTTAAGTGGGTATGACACATTCATAGGTTGTTACATTTTAAGAAGCCCTGAGACACAGTTTTGTGAAAAAAAGCCTGATGGGGCTTAACAGGTTAACCAACCTTAAGAAATGTTTTCGTAAAACCCACTTTTTCTAGAATACGGTTTTTTTTTTTGTGTTCAATGATATATCCACTACGCTGCAGGAGTCACTAAACATTACCTTTTTACCGTTAGCTTCCCGCAAAAGGTGTCACGATCTGTCTGTGTTGTGTTTTGTCTTGTCTAGATCTGTCTTTGGTTTCCTGTTTTATTTTACAAGAAGTAACCTCAAGGCCCTGGTTAAGGGAGTTACTACCCTAGTGGGTGGAGGTAGCTTTTTTGGTAGCTTTGAGGTCAAACCTGTTTCCCGGCCTACTAGCCCCAGGCATGCTAGCCCCCTGCTTGACACAGTTCCCAACAAGGCTCCTTTCGTGGACCCTTTCGCTGGGTCTCGTCTGGCCTTTGGAGGACCTCTGAGCCTCCGCAAGGCTTCAAGCCAGCATGGAAGGAAACGCAAGGCCAGGATTCCAGTACAGGCCACTGCAGCCATGGTTCCGGCTCCAGTACCGGCCCCAGCAGCCATGGTTCCGGCTCCAGTACCAGCCCCAGCAGCAATGGTCCCAGCCCCAGTAGCCATGGTCCCAGCCCCAGAAGCCATGGTTCAGGCCCTAGTTCCGGCCCCAGCAGCCATAGTCCCTCCTCTAGTCCCTTCTCAAATCCCTCCTCTAGTCCCTTCTCCAGTCCCTACTCAAGTCCCTTCTCTAGTTCCTACACAATTCCCTTCTCCAGTCCCTTCTCCAGTCCCTACTCAATTCCCTTCTGAAGTCCCTCCTCTAGTCCCTTTTCAAGTCCCTCCTCTAGTCCCTTCTCAAGTCCCTTCTCCAGTCCCTATTCAAGTCCCTTCTCTAGTTCCTACACAATTCCCTTCTCAAGTCCCTCCTCAAGTCCTTTCTCAAGTCCCCTCTCAAGTCTCTTCTCAAGTCCCAACACCATGTCCTGTCTCGTTGGGGGTCCCGCCGACTACTGTTCTGCAGGGGGTCCTGCCAACCCCTTGTCTTGTCCCTTTGGGGGTCCCGCCGACTACTATCCTGCCGGGGGTCCAGCAACCCCATGTCCTGTCTCGTTGGGGGTTCCGCCGACAACTGTTCTACCGGGGGTCCTGCCAACCCCATGTCCTGGTCCGTTGGGGGTTACGCTGGGGGTCCTGCCAACTCTGTGTGCTGTTCCATTGGGGGTCCCACCGTCACCTGTTTTGCCGGGGGTCCTGCCAACTCCTTGTCCTGTTTCGTTGGGGGTTCCACTGATGGTCCTGCCAACTCTGTGTCCTGTCCTGTTGGGGGTCCCGCCGACACCTGTCCCGCCCGTCCTCCGGAGCTGTCCCGCCTCCGTCCTGCCCGTCCTCCGGAGCTGTCCCGTCGCCGCCTTCTTGCCCGTCCTTGTGCTCGGCCCCCTGAGTTCCCCAGCCTTCGCCCTCAAGCCTGGCCCCCTGAGTTCCCCAGCCGCAGCCTTCGCCCTCAAGCCCGTCCCCCTGAGTTCCCCAGCCGCAGCCTTCGCCCTCAAGCCCGGCCCCCTGACTTTCCCAGTCGATGCCTTCACCCTGGAGTCCGGCCCCCTAATTTACCCCGACGAGGCCTTCACCCCTGTCTTCGGCTCCCTGAGTTTCCCCGCCGCGGACTTTCCAGCTCTGTTGCTGTTCCACCCACCCTGTTTTTTTGTTGTTGTTTTTTTTAGGGGGGGGGGGGTAATGTCACGATCTGTCTGTGTTGTGTTTTGTCTTGTCTAGATCTGTCTTTGGTTTCCTGTTTTATTTTTGAAAAGTGTTCACCCCCGTCTTGCCTGTTGCTTTCTGTCTCTGTGTTCCCTCCTGCCTGATTACCCGATTGTGTTCACCTTGTGCCCCTGTGTTTTCTCCTCCCTCCTCACCTGTGTCGTGTTTGTGTGATTAGTCTTGTGTGCATTTAAGTTCTGGTTTTTCTGTCTGTCATTGTTAGATCCTTGTTTGTTGTTGTTGACTGTGTTCACGGGGGGAGAGTTCAGCTCTGTATCTTGTAGCCTTGAAATAAAGGAATTTTCTGTTGAATCTGCATTTGGGTCCTGCCTGCTTCACTCAACCCTGACAAAAGGACCTTTTTGTTTGGAGTCTGCTTTCCACTTTCAATTGGGAATTTATTTTAGAGATATTACATATTTAGCTACATTATAAACAGCTGAAGTAAGACAGGAAAGGGAGAGAGGCAGGTACATGGGGCCCATTCTTGATTCTCTCATCTTTTCTTTGTTTAGTGCGTTTCATGGGGACTGTGTCAGCGGTGTTAGCGTCAACTGGCTTGCACTTTAAAGTTTTTATTTAAGTGGACAATGAGAGTCATCATTTTAAGAAAACAAGCATGAACAATTTGGTTTGAGAAAACTTCCTGAATCTGATGCAGACTTTTTAGTTTAACCAGTTAAGCCCGAAGGTCCCCCCAGTGGACCCCTCCCACAGTTTTTTTTCTCTCACATGTCTCAGGGCTTCTTAACATTTATGAAACTATTAATGTTTCATACCCTTTTAAAAGGTAAGAAACTCCGCTAACTGACAATAAGAACAATTGTTAGCTAAAAAAAACACAAAAGTAATACCAAGCCTTTGAATTAGCATTGAGCGAAAAAAATGCTAACTAATGCTAACGCTTTTTTTACACACAACACACGGTAGAAATGCCCTTATTACTATCTTAACTGCACAAACAAGATATACGATTTAAAGCTGAGACTCCACAGATTCCACACATGTAATGTCATCACTGTCCGACCTCGAATTCCTGGAGCTATCAGCCAGAAAAGAGAAAGTAAACAACATCCGGTTCCAAACATATTACAATAATTACGTCTTACCTTTTTTGATTTGTGATCAAAAGTTGTGTTCAACGGAATAAAAACGCATCTCAAGGTTAATCCAATGTCTTTGTGTCACGTAGAATTTTTTACTGATAATCAATCATCATATTTATGGCAATATACTCGGTATAAAGTATTGCCGTCCAGGCTTGCACTTTCAGATATGCTTCGTTTGCTTCTCTATTACGTCCGCTATGGTAATGTTTACGTAGATTTGGGAACTGCCCATCGATTCTATTGGTTCTGATGGTTAAGAAAAAGGTGTAAATCACACGAATCGACCAATGGGTTCCAGAGATATGGTCCTGCGCAAATTATAAAGAATGCCAGCCAGCGTGCCAACATTACGCAGCCCACTTCATTTATTGTTTACAGCGTAAAGAAGCAGGTATTGCAGCAGGACCCAGAGCGCACGGAGCACAGAGCGGACAGCAGATAACGGAATTGCAGTTGTATTGCTTATAGATTATCAGAACATTTCAAAGGGGACACAGCCCCATTGGATATTAATCTATGGATTAACTACATCATCGTTTTTATCGTTTTAATACCATTGAAGACCAGTTTAGACCAGACAACGAGGAAGGTAAGTCATTGTTAGCCTAGCGCATTAGCGCTAGCGCCATTTGTTTTGATGTACGTTTTTGTTGATAACGTCGCGAGTTTGTATCTTTCAGTGTTTGGCTGTTCAGGTGGGCACCGTTAGATTCTGTGTCTCCTTGCAATCATAAACAATGTGTTGGATGTGCAGCTAGGATAAGTAATAAGGGAGCGAGGAGTGATTTTCGGTGCACTAATAGTTTAGCATTTTTCGCTCGGGGCTAATTCACTGTAAGAGTAGGCCTATGTTTTATTTTATTTTATTTATTTTTTTCACAACAGTTGTATTTGGATGGAATGAATACCTATAGTGATAATTCAAAGTAATAAAATGATTTTTACAGTGAAAAAGTTCAAATGGAACCGATGGTTCCCAAATTACCCAGAGGTGAGTCCGCTTAGACTTTATTTTTCTAAACCTCTCTAAAAAGGTCAAATTTCACTTGTTTTGCATCAATCTTGATACAGGGTACTTATTATATGTTATAGTTTGGATTCCTAAAGCTTTTAGTCTACTAACCCATCATGCAAGGGTGGTTTTCACGATAAGTATAGGTTTTTTTTTAGGTGGACATTAGAATTTACATGTTTTTACTATGTTCCATCTGAATTTACTTTAAAATAAAAACATCTATATTGATTCTGACACTTCTACATCCAACTCACAGATGTAACCTTGCTTTGAGAAAAATAATTATTAATTTACCCCTTTTAAAAGTGAAGATATATCATTTGTTGTGTTAGTGGCATTTTCGAGCCTGAAACCTGAAAAACAGGCTCAGGGCTTAACTGGTTAAGAAAACAATTAATAAGGCACAAAGATACTGTTATTATTTTGTATATATTGATTGTTGTGCTTTTATTTATGTCTTGATGTGTGCATATGTATAAATGTGTCTATGGATTGTGTATATATAGGATATACACATTTTTATATTTGTATTTTGTATTAGGGATTGTGGGAAACGGTATTTCAATCTCTCTGTCTGTACACACAAGCTGAAAGATTGACAATAAAATTGACTTTGAGATATTGGTGAGACAAAAGACCAACATCGCAGGTGTTTGTTCATCTTTACCTTCTTTATCTGTGGCGCTGCTACAGTTGAACACAGCTGAGCAAACAGTTTGTCCGCCCTGCCGTTCTCCTTCCACTCCATGAGCTGCACGGTCGGGGGGGCCATGTCCAGAGAAGCGATCAGATCTGAGCAGTTTGAGATCTGCTCTCTGATCGTCTCGTTGCTCAGCTCTTTGCTCTGATCCACCACCAGCCTGCGTTTCCTCTTCCCCCTCCTCTTCTCAGAGTTAGCTGAAAACAGACAGTAGAGCAGTGACCCTCAACTGGTGGCCCGCCAGACATTCTCATCCGGCCCGCACAACGGGGGTGACTGTGGCGTTAGTGCGTTCGCCCCCCACTAAAACGTCTCGTGAGTAATGTGCAGTACCGGAGTCCAACAGAGAGGCAGCAGCTGCCGGACAGTAGACTGCGTACTGCCTTCCCTGCCCTGAAGAAGAAGAAGTGTTCCTTCGCTGTGAAGAGTATGCTTTATGTTCTCCGCAGCAGTTGCCCCGCAGCGACAGAGTCCAACAAAGAGGCAGAAGCTGCGGGACCGTAGCCTCGAAGTGATCCTTCGTTAGCGTGAAGAGTCTGCTTCCCCCCCCCCCCCCCGGTCAACAACTTAAAAAATTCTGGGCTATAAAAAAATTGCTGGCCCGCGAAAGTGTCTATTGGATAAATGTTGGCCCTTGGACAAATGTAGTTGGTGATCCCTGCAGTCGAGGGTCGAGTATCAAAAAGACCGTTTGCAGAGATGGCTAAAGTACACAGATCCTTTAGGCTGGCGTCACACTGTCCCGAAATTGACCCCAGATGGACACGAATATGGAATTGTGAATTTCGCACGAAGATGGCCCTGAACTTGGTCAACAGCCAAGCAACAGAAGCAAGTACGATGCCTACAGAAGGCCACACAAAGGCAACACGAAGATGTGAATTGTTATAGTAGTTTATACCCGCAGGACACACGAAGGCCACACAACATCGTAGAGAGTACGATGCGTTCCAACTAGGTCACGAAGGTGTCACGTGATCTCCTGATGGTATTTACATAATATGTTTACATGATATTGTTGTGCAATTAAACAACCAGAGAAGCGATCTGCAAGGAAACATAGCACACCGTGTCCTCATGCTCCCGTTTCACCTGCTTAATACAGGTATCATCACTGCTACTGATTTCGACAGAGCAGGTCACAAATAGCAAGAAATGACAGTGAAATAAGACAATTTTTACCTGAGGAGGTGCTGGGCCTGTAAGAGTTGCTCATCGTGTTCTCTGAGGTGCATCAAAAGAAGCAATGCTGCTGCCTTCTTTTTCCTGGTTGTCTCATCATCAAAGTATGCCATTCAGCAGGAACTGAATTGTGATTGAAGCTTTGGGAGTTACACACGCCTCTGCTCTGTAGAGTTGCTCAGGACTGACTGAGGAAGATGCTCTGAGGCTGGCCTTTTATATGTCCACGTTACCATGACACATGGGAAACGCTTGAGCTACTCAAATTCGGCTGTCTTCGCCGACACCATCTTGATGTCATCATACTATAATACCATGGCTACACGACGGCATTGCGCGGGCTTCACGTAGTCGTGTTGCCTTCCTAAGACAACCGGGCAGCTTTTTGTTTCCTTCGTATTGTCTTCGTGAGGCGAAAAATGCCCGATGGCACCGATGATCACACGAAGTAGAGATGAAGAGGACACGATTTTGACAAGATGCCCTCACGATGGCCTTTCGAAGGGCAAAATGGACACACACATTTTTTGGCATACCAAAGATTTTGCCACCGCTCACAAAGTTGCTGCCGGGGCCTGAGAAACTCCACCGGCGGTCATACGATGGCTTAAGATGGCCTCACGAATGGCCCGATGTTGTTACGGTCAGAGCCGAATTTGAACATTTCCTTTATCGTGTGTCCATCTGGTGTCAATTTCGGGACAGTGTGACACATCCTTTACTCAAGTAAAAGTAAAGAGGCTTTGAAATGTACTTCAGTAAAAAGTACCCATAACTAGCAGCTGTTTTAAAGAGTACCTGACCTCCCTTTATATTAATAGAACAATAATGTCATTGTTAGCTAATGAATGTTTCCATGCTGAACAACGGCAACATGACAACGTTTCCATTGGTCCCTCTTCTTTAGAGAAGACCAGGAAATGATGGATACACGGATCGTGTTCAAATCAATAGGCACGCAATGACTCTAAAGGCCCTGACACACCAGGCCGATTTCGGCTGTTTTCGTAAGTCGGGAGACGAAGCGTGTCCTGTCGCCCAAACTCAATTTGGTGTGTCCCGCACCGTCGACCGTGACACGCCTTATTTGGACTGCCTGTCCCGATGCATGGCCGATTCAACATGTTGAATCGGCCATGCATCGGGACAGGTCATCGGGTCTGGCAGTCGGACCAAACAATCACTCTGATTGGCTGTTCAGCTAGCGAATCAGTGCATGAGAAGCGAAACGGAAGTGAGGGACGTAAACAAACGATTTAAGAAGGCACACACAGACTGATATTCATTTTCATCTCATCATGGCAATCTGGAATGACGCAAACGAAGACCTGCTCATCACATTGATCCAGGAGAGGCCAGCTCTGTACGACATCACAGAGAAAAGGTACTCGAACCGAGTAGTGAAAACCGGACTCTGACGAGAGATTGAAACGCAACTTGGTTTCTCTGGTAAGATTATCTTTTTCATCAATTGAGCTCTTTAGCAGATACTGTTGGGTTTTTATTGTTTGCCAGTTTGACAGTGACGTTAATGTGAAATGTAATTTGTTATTTCAACCTTGTGTTTTGTTGTTATCTTGTTGCTAGCTGTTGCTAGCTGTTGCTAGCTGTGCAGTTTGGCACTGCATGTAGATATGAATTGGACATGCTAACTAGCCACAATGGTTACATCGTTTATTTGTGTGCTTCAGAGAAAGAGCTGAGGAAGAAGTGGGATTCTCTGCGAACCCAGTACACCCGGTACAGGAGACTTGCCCCTTCGGGTAGTTGTGGAGCACCAAAGACGGGCAGACAGCAGTGGATCATAACCAGGCTGCAGTTTGCACACGCTATTTGTTTATATCACGCAGTCTGTTCTTCTTCTCTGTCTTCCGGTTGTTGCCTATTTTTAATGACGAATACACACTACCGCCGCCTGCTGGTAAGGAAAGTTATTGCCACTCACGCACTGAAGTCTTTGCGGTGCGTTCCCGTGCGACACATGGCCAAGACGCAGGAGAACACCGCGACGCAACAGCCGACGTCGGCGAGTCCTCTGGTGACTGCTTGGTGTGTCAGGGCCTTTAAGAATAATGATCACGCCACCAAACACACATTCAAACTAAAGGAACCAGCTGTTTGGAAAATGAGAGAAGTAGGAAGTACAGGTATTTGTGTTCAACATGTGAGAAGTAGAAAGTACAGGTATTTGTGTTCAACATGTAAGAAGTAGAAAGTTCAGGTATTTGTGTTCAACATGTACGAAGTAGAAAGTACAGGTATTTGGGTTCAACATGTAAGAAGTAGAAAGTACAGGTATTTGTGTTCAACATGTACGAAGTAGAAAGTACAGGTATTTGGGTTCAACATGTAAGAAGTAGAAAGTACAGGTATTTGAGTTCAACATGTACGAAGTAGAAAGTACAGGTATTTGGGTTCAACATGTAAGAAGTAGAAAGTACAGGTATTTGTGTTCAACATGTACGAAGTAGAAAGTACAGGTATTTGGGTTCAACATGTAAGAAGTAGAAAGTACAGGTATTTGTGTTCAACATGTACGAAGTAGAAAGTACAGGTATTTGGGTTCAACATGTACGAAGTAGAAAGTACAGGTATTTGGGTTCAACATGTACGAAGTAGAAAGTACAGGTATTTGTGTTCAACATGTGAGAAGTAGAAAGTACAGGTATTTGTGTTCAACATGTAAGAAGTAGAAAGTACAGGTATTTGAGTTCAACATGTAAGAAGTAGAAAGTACAGGTATTTGAGTTCAACATGTAAGAAGTAGAAAGTACAGGTATTTGTGTTCAACATGTAAGAAGTAGAAAGTACAGGTATTTGGGTTCAACATGTAAGAAGTAGAAAGTACAGGTATTTGTGTTCAACATGTACGAAGTAGAAAGTACAGGTATTTGTGTTCAACATGTAAGAAGTAGAAAGTACAGGTATTTGAGTTCAACATGTAAGAAGTAGAAAGTACAGGTATTTGTGTTCAACATGTAAGAAGTAGAAAGTACAAGAATTTGTGTTCAACATGTGAGAAGTAGAAAGTACAAGAATTTGTGTTCAACATGTAAGAAGTAGAAAGTACAGGTATTTGAGTTCAACATGTACGAAGTAGAAAGTACAGGTATTTGTGTTCAGCATGTAAGAAGTAGAAAGTACAGGTATTTGAGTTCAACATGTAAGAAGTAGAAAGTACAGGTATTTGGGTTCAACATGTAAGAAGTAGAAAGTACAGGTATTTGTGTTCAACATGTACGAAGTAGAAAGTACAGGTATTTGAGTTCAACATGTAAGAAGTAGAAAGTACAGGTATTTGTGTTCAACATGTAAGAAGTAGAAAGTACAAGAATTTGTGTTCAACATGTGAGAAGTAGAAAGTACAAGAATTTGTGTTCAACATGTAAGAAGTAGAAAGTACAGGAATTTGGGTTCAACATGTGAGAAGTAGAAAGTACAGGTATTTGGGTTCAACATGTGAGAAGTAGAAAGTACAGGTATTTGAGTTCAACATGTAAGAAGTAGAAAGTACAGGAATTTGGGTTCAACATGTGAGAAGTAGAAAGTACAGGTATTTGAGTTCAACATGTAAGAAGTAGAAAGTACAGGTATTTGTGTTCAATATGTAAGAAGTAGAAAGTACAGGTATTTGTGTTCAACATGTAAGAAGTAGAAAGTACAGGTATTTGAGTTCAACATGTAAGAAGTAGAAAGTACAGGTATTTGGGTTCAACATGTGAGAAGTAGAAAGTACAGGTATTTGGGTTCAACATGTGAGAAGTAGAAAGTACAGGTATTTGGGTTCAACATGTGAGAAGTAGAAAGTACAGGTATTTGAGTTCAACATGTAAGAAGTAGAAAGTACAGGAATTTGGGTTCAACATGTGAGAAGTAGAAAGTACAGGTATTTGAGTTCAACATGTAAGAAGTAGAAAGTACAGGTATTTGTGTTCAATATGTAAGAAGTAGAAAGTACAGGTATTTGTGTTCAACATGTAAGAAGTAGAAAGTACAGGTATTTGAGTTCAACATGTAAGAAGTAGAAAGTACAGGTATTTGGGTTCAACATGTGAGAAGTAGAAAGTACAGGTATTTGGGTTCAACATGTGAGAAGTAGAAAGTACAGGTATTTGGGTTCAACATGTGAGAAGTAGAAAGTACAGGTATTTGAGTTCAACATGTAAGAAGTAGAAAGTACAGGAATTTGGGTTCAACATGTGAGAAGTAGAAAGTACAGGAATTTGGGTTCAACATGTGAGAAGTAGAAAGTACAGGTATTTGAGTTCAACATGTAAGAAGTAGAAAGTACAGGTATTTGTGTTCAATATGTAAGAAGTAGAAAGTACAGGTATTTGTGTTCAACATGTAAGAAGTAGAAAGTACAGGTATTTGAGTTCAACATGTAAGAAGTAGAAAGTACAGGTATTTGTGTTCAACATGTAAGAAGTAGAAAGTACAGGTATTTGGGTTCAAAATGTAAGAAGTCAAAGTAAAAAGTCGTCAGAAAAATAAGTAGTGGAGTAACAGGGTATATGCAGGAATCCTGAAGACAAATTTAATACCTTTTAAGACCTTTTTTAAGACCCTTTCCATACATTTTAAGACCTCATCGCAACTTCGAGTTCTAACTGGTTACATTGGCGACACTCACATTTACTATATTGATTGTAAGATAGCACAACTAAACAGAGTGCAGACAGACTACTGAAGCCTCCTCTCCATGAACTTCAACCTCTCTGTGAAGGTCAGGTTTAATGCAGGATGCTGCGTTGTTGCTTCTGTACTCTGTGCTCTTTCATTCCAGTAGAACTCCTCAGAAACCATTAGAAACCAGTATTTGACCAATAAACAAAACAATTGACAAAACTTTGAACTATGAAATATATTAAACTTTGGTGAGCTTCAGCGGGGTAATGCCATATAGGAGCTCCCTCACAAATACCCAGGGGTTACATTGGGCTGGGGCTGTCCGGGGCTAAGCCCGGCACATAGGACGATGCTCTGACGTCATCACCCTCACACATTTGTCATATGTTTACAAAAAACGATATATATGTTAAGACTTTTCTCGTTCTTAATATAGACTATATTTAGGGTCGATATGTGTTGACCTTACTTTAAAATAGCAGATCTCTGTGACCGGATATAGTTTGGCTTAGACCCCGGCCCCACGAGGACGCTGACAGTAAAACGCATACGCAAACGCAAAAAAGTCTTCCGTTCACACGCATTCGATTCATTAACGTGTCCGTTCACACTAGACCGCTGGAAACGCTGTAGTACATATGCCAGGCCTGTAAGTGGCGCTGCTGCCGCCACAAAATACACCAAAAGCAGCGAAGAAGACCCCGGAGCATGGTTGTCATGGTTGCCCTTCTGATTATTCTCCGCGGTGGACGGCGTGTTCTCCTGCTGTATATCTCTCAGGTAGTCCACCAGCAGATAACCCCCCCCACACAGAGCGGAGCAAGGCAACGAAACTTAAAATAAGAAGCAGCATTTTATGGCACCTTGAGGGGGTTTCCCGACATGTTGTTTCAGTAAATTAAAGGGTGTTTCATGTTGTCGTTGCTGTGGACCTTCTTAATACCTTGGAACATGCCGTTTAATACTTTTTAATAGCCTTAATTTTCGCTAAATTGATTTATCAACTTTTAATACTTTTTAAGACCCCGCGGACACCCTGAGTAAAGTACTGATACCAGAAACATGTACTTAAGTACAGTAACAAGGTATTTGTACTCCTACTTCCACCTCTGACTGTTAGTGGGTCGACAGTTGGAAGTTTCTGGTTTGTTTCTCTCGGCCTAAAGCATTATGATTCCCACCAATGTGAGCACGTATAGATGAGGGTCTTTTTAACCGCAGTAAAACTCGCTAAAAACAGCTATAAGACACCCTTCCCACGACCAGCTGATTGCCAGGAGATGAGTATATATTTTACTTACTTGATCTCTGCGTCACCGACTGATATTAAAGTGACAGAAAAAAAAAACATTATAGTAAAGCCGCGGCCGGAAAATCAGGAAGCAACGTTACTACGCTATAACCGATTATCTTCCGTCACTGCATCGAGACCGAATCGTCCACGTCCGCATCGCAGAAACGATTATTTTCAACACCCCTAATAATAATAATAATAATAATAGCAATAATAATTGGGAGGGCGCGGCTGTTCTTATGTTCTCTGAGGGGAGGCTCACTTTGAAAACCCCTGCTTTAGAGCATAACGTTAGCATTTTGCTTTTGGCCATTAGATTTATGATTTCAAATTTATAAAAGTAGGGTAGACATGAGGAGATTATCCGGCTGAACAAAACGTGCATTTATCAAACAGGTTTGTTTCCACAGACCTTATTTCCAGCTATTTTCCAAAATGCTCTGGAGAGATCCCGTTGCTTTTTGTCGAGGGAACCAGCAGCTTACTTCGGGGTAAATACGTCCTCCCTGCACCGCTCTATAAACGCTAGGGATGCTCCGATCGCCAATTTCGGGGCCGATCGCCGGAATCAGTATCGGCCGATACCGATCGCCGATCCGATCGAGTGGGCGGGGCCTAAATGGAAGATTTAAACATCACTTTAAATCTTCCATTTAAAGTGATGTTTAAAACTCAGTTAATGGGGCTCATTCTCCGGAGCTTCCACAAACAACAATCTACTTAATTATTACATTCAAATGATGTACATTATTCAAGTTTACATTCACTTTGGATAATAACACGGGAGAAATGAGCGGAAGCGCTCTCTTTTCCTCTCTCCCCCTCTCTCTCCCCCCTCTCTCCCTCTCCTGACAGCCTCTCAGTATCTCATGCAGCTCACTGATCCAGTAATGAGTGACCCAACAATGAAGAATACATATATTTATAATAACTAGTTTAGCTTGTTCCAGAGGTAGATAAAATAGCTAAGTGTGTTAGGTCTAACTCTTACGGTACGTCCACACAGCAGCTTTTCAAAAACCTTGAAAATCTTGGAGCTGGGCGTGTCTGAAAGCTTGGGGATTTTTTGCGAGCAACGCGACCAACAACCAATCACATGAATCTCCCGCCCCCGACATACAAAGCAAAAAACCCCGGGGATTTTATGCGAGCAATATATATATATATATAAACTCCCCAAAACAGGCGAAAACCTACCAGTTTCACCCACTGTCTCTGCCACCTCCCTCCATGCCTGGTTCCTCCGGTTTGTATCCCATTAATAGTTCTGGTCGTAAAGAACCGGGTGATTTGCTACCGTAATTTCTCGTTTGGAATATGAGGAAATGAACTGCGGTCTGGTTCTCCCTGTGTGTGTGTTTCGCTGCGCTTACCGGTCCGGCGGGCGGAGCTGCAGGATTTCTGCTTCACACACGTTGCATTCCGCTATTTTACTGTCTTTTCGGACACCTTAAAATAATACCAGACCGGTGAAGCCATTTTGGCGAGCTTGTTTTGCCGCACACAGAGAAAGTGTCATGTATTTTACGTCATGCGATCGGCTCTCGCGATCGGCATGTTTAGAGAGCACCGATCGATCGGTAGAGAGTGAGTATCGGCCGATATCGATCGGTGACCGATCGATCGGAGCATCCCTAATAAACGCTGAATTAAACCTCTCAAAATGAAAACAAAAGACAGATATTACTGTGTTTGTGGGTTTTTTGTCGTTGTGGGTAAAGGGGCTTAATAGCAGGTGGTTTCAGGTGTGTGTGCATAAAATATGTGAGGTGCAGGAACACAGTTTGAGAGGTGTGTGATTGTTCCTACGAGTGACTGCCACAGGGTCCAGTGCGAAGCCCTCCTCCTCGTTGGCCAGCAGCTTGGTCTCGTCTTGAGTCGGGGTCACCACCTCTGTCCAATCAGCGTCTAGAAAACACACAGGGTTTGTTTTTTAGTTTGAAAACAACTCAAACACCACTGATGCAGCAGCTATATCATTTAACAAAACCCCGCTGATAAATGCAGTAGTTAATAATATAATATATATTTATAATATCGAAGCATTACACACATTAAAAAGCACGACACAATACATAGCACAAATAATGATTGAACTATTCAGTACGTGTTCCCACACCTTCCTAAACATTACCTTTCAGGTCCAATTCCTTCAAAATTATGGATCAAATAGTTTTTTGGATGTATAAACTAAAGTCTAATTGTTGAAATAGTAGAATAAATAATGAAAATAAATAAAATAAGATGTTATTTGAACAAAGGCTCAAGCTTACTTGCTGTAACAACAATTAAATATTAAAAACGAGACCTAGCGTTAATGAAGCACGTCACAACATATACATTCAAGCCCTTTGAATAAGCCATGTTGACTTTCAAGACCTTCATTTGATAGATTTTGCCAAACTTCTTAGGACGTCAAGGCTTATGACGTTAACATGAACGTTATCAGAAGACCAACACATTTATCGTGACGATGCATCACCTCGTTGATCCTCGAGTGTTGAGATGTGTGTATTCTCATTCTGAGGATCTTCTGGGATGAGGTTAGGAGACTCGGGGTTTTCACAGTTTGTCAGGAAGTCTTCAGAATCATAAAAAAAAGAGAAAGGATGATAGATCTTCAATTGGACAGCAAAGGAAAAATCACAGTTAACATAAAGTCAGATTTAGGTTTAGGATTATAACGTAATCTGCAGCAGCAGCTTGCTCCAAAGCTTCGTGACTAGGTGCAGAGTATTTTTATTTGTACGAGATAATGAGAACTGTGTTTCAGATGCTGTTGGGAACATACTGAATGTCCTCTTCCAACATGAGAGTAACATGATGACAAAGGTATCCCAACTATAGCTGTGAACATGACAGGATGTGTGATTACCTAGAAGAGGGTTCCTGCAGGTTTCACCAGCTCAAATGTAAGACTTCTTAAGACCTTTTTAAGACCACTTTGAATAGAATTGAAGACGTATTTGACGGCTAGAAAGTATGAAGGAAAATTGCTATGAAAGAAGAAATACGTCCCATAATTACTTACAAAGTAATGTATTCACGTTCAACATAAGAACAATGACTGAATATAACAGTACACAGACCTGTGTTAGCGTGTTAGACACAAATGGTGTGTTGTGTTGTTTGCAAAAGGTGCAGCGGGCTTCCATCACGTTCCCTCCACTGGTTTCAACCAAGCACTAAATTCGATGTTTTCCAACCGAATACGGTTGAACTGACTTCCCCATATTTATTTGTTAGTAGATTCGAAAGATACCTGAGTTTCTGACTGCCGCTAGCTGAAGCTTGCTTGGTTGCTAGGTTACTAGCTGGGTGTTCTCCGATAAGGGGCCGGGGGAAACAAAGTTAGTGATTACTGGTTCCATGTTGATTTACTTCAATACAGATTGTTGGGGGAACTGAAAGACACTTTGCAGCCCGGACATTTCCCCCAAAACACATTTAGACGCGATCGCAACACCTTTCAAATCCCATCATTTTTAAGACCTTCTAAATCATATTTAAGACCTTTCTTATTTTTTTGATCAAATGTAAGACTTTTTAAGACCCCGCGGGAACCCTGTAACTAAGAACACTCGTCTAAAATGAACCCTGTGTTCAGGAACTAGTTGATGCTCTGTATGTAACGACTACTTCCATTCTGGAGAGGATCACACATACATGGATCCTGAGACTGAAGATCAAGCCGGTGACGAGTGATTATTAACATTTTTAAGTATTCAGAAAAAGTCAGAATTTTGAGTAAAAAACAGGATTTTTAGATTTTGAGAAAAAGTCAGAATTTTGAGAAAGAAATCTGTATTTTGTTCATGACAGGATGTATGATTACCTACAGTACAATAACCAGTATTCCTCCATCTTGTGACTGAGTAACTCCCTCTCTTGGATATCAGCATGTGAAGGACACTGTTCAAGGCAAGGCAAGGCAAGGCAAGGCAAGGCAAGGCAAGGCAAGGCAAGGCAAGGCAAGGCAAGGCAAGGCAAGGCAAGGCAAGGCAAGGCAAGGCAAGGCAAGTTTATTTATATAGCACTTTTCAACACAAGGCAATTCAAAGTGCTTTACAAAAAATGAAAGAGATTAAGAAAATTAAAAATTAAATTAAAATTAGTTCAGGAACTAGCTGATGCTCTGTATGTGATGACTACTTCCATTCTGGAGAGGATCACAGATACATGGATCCTGAGGTTGAAGCTCAAGCCGGGGACCAGGGATATTATCCTAACAATACGCTATTTATTCTTTGTGTCACACGTGAGAGGCTTCAAAAGACGTGAAAGGCTGCTTCACAGACACTAATCCTAATGGCGCAACTGTGAAATTACCATCGTGACTTCAAATACATCAGTTCATTGCTCCTAAAATGCTGACAAAGTGTAAAAAAACCACTGGGGTAAGGATGCCTTCAAATGAGTGAAGAGCACATTTCATGACATAATAGCTGACCGTTACATTCGACCAGATTAACTGCAAATATATTTCATTTCATTTGCCTTCAACGCCTCCTCATCCATGACACACTCAGGCTCCTGACAAGAACAGACCGTGGGAAAATCCTTTTAAGCGTGCTAGGACATAATTGGTCTTCAAAGGCTGACCTTGGAGTAATGAGTCCCTGAATTTGGAAAAGCGATCTGGTGAGTTGGGTTTTCTCAAGTCCTTTATTTTAAGGTTTTACATGTGTCAACTATGAGAGTGTATCAGAGCCATTGAAGGTAAAAAAGAAATAAAAACGGAGCTCGGGGGAAGGGCGACTACTTTGAAGAAAACCTCAGATCAACATCATTCAAAGTAGTAAAACTACGAGAAAGATTTAAGTCGCAAATTAACAAGAACATTGAGTTTTCTTTGTCAAGGAATCACTTCACTTAATTTGTTAATTGAATCGACGTCATTGAAGCATAAACAGAGTGTCGTTTGTTGCACTTAATGTAAATAATATCCTGCTTTAGATTTGGTATTTCAACATGTACATTTTCTACTTCTTTTTTAATGCTGTTTTATATCCATATTGGGATGTTTTTACATTTTTAAATTGTTCATTTCCACTCTTTGGTTGCCTTGTCTTTTATCCTAACGCAAACATTTCCCAACTTGGGATCAATTGGGAAATGCATCTTATCTTATCAACACGTTTTTACTAATGCTGTCAAAATTATCGCGTTAACGGCGGTAATCATTTTTTTGAATTAATTGCGTTAAAATATTTAAGGCATTTAACGCATGTGCAGAATGGCCCGCCCCATACATCCCACCAGTGGCAGCGCCAGGGTATGGCTGGGGTAGGCTACACCCATACCAAGAAATGGCTTAGCCCCACCATGAAAAATTATGTTAAAGGAAGCAAAATAAAGTCCGCCAACTCGCGCCGAGGATTGCACAGACAGCAGCTAGTAAGATTGATTTCAGTAGCCACTTGTCTGGAAATACCGAAGACCAGAAACGGTTTTGAAAACTTTTGTCACGTAGTGATCGTCTTCTCAATAGAACATCTTTGATAATGTCTTCTGGCCAATCAGAATCAAGATAACGGGGCGTGGTGTTGTTGCAGGAAGTCCCGACGGAGAATACTTTTGCTGTAGTACAGGGGTGCACATAACTGGTACGCAGGTTATGTGCGTAATCTGAAATGCGTACCGTCACTTGTGTCACAAAGCGCATTTGCGTACCGACGTACTTGTGAAGCTTTTCCAGAAGGCGGTTAGATCACCGGACGACAGAGTCGGTCTCCGTGTGCACAGACAGGGCTGCTGTTAACGTCGGTCTGTACAACGGAATTGTGCCAAAACTACGCCAACCGGCTACGGAGGGAGACTCCCCCCCCTTCACTGGAGAACTGCGCTAAAACAGCTGATCACAACGTTCACACTCTGTGGTCACGAAGTACTCCACTAGCCGCCCCCCGTCGGCTTTCCTGAAGTACTCCCCCGTTGATAGAAATCAACACGTAATGAATTAAGACCCCACGGTTTGATGATTGATAGGTGTGTGTGGGTTGTCTTTCATTTTGACACGCAGAAAAATGTTATAATAAACATAGATACTGTATGTTAAATGGATATATCCGCCTTCTTTCATTTATCTTTCCATTCCCACAACAATATACATAAATAAATGGCATATTTTGGACATAGTTCGAATGGTGATTAATCTGATTAATTAAGTTTTAAGCTGTGATTAATCTGATTAAAATGTAATCGTTTGACAGCCCTAGTTTTTACTCATACATCTTAGACTTGAAAATCTCAGAAGAAATTGAGTTTATTTCTCGTAAAGTCAGATTTTTTTCTTGGAAGGTAACTTAATTTTTCACTTTGACCTTTTCATCTAATCTGCTGTTGTTCAGTCTTCTATAATTAGTGAATCTTATATATTTATTTATCTAATTCTGTAAAAAGTGCAGTCTTTTCTGACAGGGTATTTGCTGAATGAGTTAAACAGGGTATATGCAGGAATCCTGAAGTCACATTTCAAACCTTTTAAGACCTTTTTTAAGACCCTTCCCATACATTTTAAGACCTCATCGCCACTTTGAGTTTTAACCGGTTACATTGGCGACACACTTTACCTCACATTTACTGTTGGGGAATAATTCGCCCTGCATGTCCTCCTTCGCCCTCTGATGCAGCTGACCAACCTCAGCCGCTATCTCCCTGAAGGAGGGGCTGCCCTAGCAAGTTGTTGATGTCACCAGTTTGTGACCGGGCAACTCTCGGTCAGAGATAGTTATTGTTGTGGGACACCTGGAACACATCCTTCTCGGGGTGGAGATGACCCCGAGCCATAAGAGACAACAACTGTGATTCAGTGTCCTCAGATGTTTAGTCTATCTATTGAAGAATGTTGGTTATTACACTCTGAACTAGTTCAAACCTGGAGCTACAGGAGGGCTCTTCAGGATTGATTGTGGCATCTCAACCTGTGTCAACTCGTGGCCTGTGACATGTCTTGTGAATTCTCTCATCAAAGCTCCAGCTCTCCTCGTGTCTCTCTGAGTCCTGACTCCTATTGCTTCAGAAGTTTCCCTCACATTGACTATATACAGTATTGATTGTCCTTCCTCCTTCTCTTCCAACCATTTGGACGCAGACTTGCATTTCCCCATAACGATGTTGTTCAACAACCGGCGTAAACGGACCTTCGCGCGCTATCAAGCAGTGAGCGTGCGATGTCCTGTTCAGATGACGTCAAACCCAACGGGATGCCATCAATAAACTACACAGAATCACACTACACACCTACGCCATGATTACATTCAGGCAGACTGTAGAATACAACCTCTTTGGACCATTTATATACTTATTGAAAACAAGCTACAAAATGTAATACCTTGGGAAATGCCGTTTAATACTTTTTAGTAGCCTTCATTTTCAACTTTTAATGCTTTTTAAGACCCCGCGGACACCTTGCTAAAATAAAAATGGTCAAAAGGCCATTATCAACAGTAAAGGAATTCTGCTTTTTTTGTGTGCATGATGTTCTTTATAGCATTTGCATATGGCAAAGATACATCCTGACCGCTTCACAATCATTACCCAGGAAGTCTCCTCCTCTGTCCTCGTCCCCAAAAGCGTCTCCCTGTTGAGAGAAGCCCTGGAAGTCCAGCAGCCCAGCGCTGATGCCCTGGGACTCGTTCCCTACACATCAGAGGCAGGAAAAGGAACATTTCAAGGTTGTTTATTTTTGATATTGTCAACAAATCCCCCCCAAAAAACCTACTCCCAGTCACTCATATGTTCAAACTTCCCTACCTCAAGCACATTCAATGCAGCAGATGTAAATCTTTGAATACATCATTTCATTTCTAAACTGTTTTCTTAAAAAGCTGGGGGCTGTGGTGTTTACTAAATGTCTCTCAGTCATGGTGTGTAACTTATTCACCGGGGACTCTTTTCAGCTTTGGATTTGGTGTGATGGCAAGTTGCTGTCAGTTTCTTAAGTCATCCCCGTTAACCCTTGGATACCCGAGTGACTGGACCCTACACTCTTCCATAAGTGGGTCAAAAAGGACCCGTATTAGAATAATATGTATTTTTATGCCTGTATAATATTTAGTATTATATTTTGGTTCACACTAGAAATGTTTTATATTGAATTTTTCATTATTTATAATTTTTTTTTAACATTTTGAACATATTGATGCAAAGATCTCCGCTCTTCTGAGACCCTCACAGTATTCCAGTCCCTTTTCAAAACTCATCTCTTCTCCTCTTGTCTACTCATCATAGCCCCCCCCCATCAAACCATGCCGGTTGATCAAGTTTGATAGTCCTACCCCCCACCCTAACCTTCCCTTAATTTGTAAAGCGATTTTGAGTCCTTGAAAAGCCCCATACAAATAATGTATTATTATTATTATACTGACAGGTATCAGATCTTGCCGTGTAAAATAATCTTCCTGAGAGGTGTCACTTGTGATGTCGTCTGTGTGGTCCACACTAGGGCTGTGCAATTAATCGTATTTTAATCGCGATTACGATTATGGCTTGCGACGATTATGAAAACAGCATAATTGACAAAATACGATTATTTTGCTGGGTGCGCTTCACCCCTCCCTAAAAGCCCACTCGGCCACGTAGGAGTGATATGTGTTGTGAGTGTTCAGCGCAAGCGCAGATGTCAGAACAAGAGCAGCAACTCGTTAAAAAGAAGGGTACAACTATTTCCACTATTTGGAAGTACTTTGGCTTTCAGGAGTCCGACGTGGAGCAAAAGAAAGTAGGCCTACAGTGCAGGATTTGTTACCAGGTTGTGTTGGCACCACACGCTAACACAACCAATCTCTTTAATCATCTGAAATACAACCACAAAGTGCAATACGACCGGTAGGGCTGAACGATATACCGTGTCATGGCGATAACCGCGGTATGCGCATGCGCGGTATTCACACCGCAGGGACGTGCGGTTTTATTCTTTTTTTTAAAAATGCTAACGCACTTTAGCACAGAATTCAAAATAAAGATACCCTTATTACTTATCGAAACGGCACATACAATATATCCGATTAAAGCTGAGACTCCACAGATTATTTCAGTATAGTATCTAAGCGATCCGATCTCGCAACAGGGGAAGCAAACACAGACATCACAACACGGAGCTTTTACGGGAGATCGTCTCACCGTAGCTGTCAATCTGATCAAAAGACGTGTTCAATGGCATTAAAACGAGAAAGAAAAAACGCGGCTGAATCGGTTGATCCATAGGTTGATAATATATCTGTGGCTTTGAAGCAATTGTTTATAATCCATAATTCCATTTTTATGTAAAAATCGGATCACAAAAGTTAGCTGCTAATGGTAGCCACCAGAGTGTATGCAGCTTCCGGTTTTGGCTACGCGTCACTCTCACTCCTTATTTGTTCATGTGTTGGTGTGTGTAGAACTTCCCCTGATATTTGACCTTTCCACCTTGCTGGATTTTGACATGTGACATCTCTTTCTGACCGTCAGAGCCAATGGAATCGAGGGGAAATCACACAGTCCTTATTTGGTAATGTGTGTGTGAGAGACTTCCGCATTGCCAAGACCGGAAGCAGCAGCCACTCTGGTGGCTACCATTAGCAGCTAACTTTTGCTCTGCGATATTTACATAAAAATGGAATTATGGATTATAAATTAAATCGTTTTTTTTATACAGAGACGTTAAAAACCTATGGATTAACCGATTCAGCCGCGTTTTTTCTTTCTCGTTTTAATGCCATTGAACACGTCTTTTGATCAGATTGACAGCTACGGTGAGACATCTCCCCTAGAAGCTACGTAAAGGTACGTGTTGTGATGTCTGTGTTTGCTTCCCCTGTCCGAGTTCAGATCACTCAGTGATGATACTATATACCTAAATAATCTGTGGAACCTCAGCTTTAATCGGATATCTTGTATGTGCAGCTACGATAAGTAATAATAAGGGTACTTTTATCTTGAGTTCTGTGCCAATGTCCGTTAGCATTTTTCGCTCAGGGGTCATTTAGATGCTTCTTATGAGACTTGTGTTTTGTTTTGGTATAAAATGGTTTGTATCGTCAGTTAGCTGAGATTATTTCCGTTAATCTGGTATAACACATTAATAGGTTCTTAAATATTACAATCCCCTGAGACACTGTCGTGAAAAAAAAAAGTAAAGTACCCGCCGGGACTTTGGGGTTTAACAGGTTAAAAAAACCGCGATATATACCGCAGGGGGGGAAAAACCGCGATGTCAGTTTTTTTCAATACCGTGCAGCCCTAACGACCGGGCAATAATACAACAAAAAGCAGATGCCGCTCGACTTCATTCACAACATCATCGATTCAGGACGCATTGTACAGAGCAACGGCCTACGCGACGAGCTCGCAGAGACACAGAGATATTACAGGTGCCATTACATTTCACATCGCTAAAGATATGTGCCCAGTTAGCACTGTTAGCAACCAGGGCTTTAAGCAACTTGTCAACACGTTGGACAAGCGTTACGCGATGCTGTCTCGGTATTATTTCATTCGGTATTATGCCGTGGGGAAGTTGAGAGAGATGTGGCTTCAGCTGACTACTTTGCCACCACAACGGACAGTCGATCGCGAGATGTGTCTAAAAATAGAACAACAATATTCTGTTTTATCGTTAATGTCCTGTAACATAATCTTCCTGTGCCAGAATAATGCACTTGAATGCATCAAAGCTTTGTGATTGGCCGCGTCCCCCATGTGTCGGGGCGTGGCTGAGGGTCTTCAGTACAGGTGGCAATATTGTCACCTGCCTGCGCTCATCTCTGAAACCAGACCATGTCAACAGGCTGGTGTTTCTTGCAAAACATCTTTAAGAGATGACATGAGCAGCCCTACCAGCATTTGCCATGGTGGCCTAAACATTTTTATTTGGTCTTAAATTGTAGTTCAACATTTATTTCCTGTTACTTCTGGACCATGACGGTTGGCCAGCCTTCAACGTTTAACTGAGTGGAATATGTTGAATATGTTGAACCAACATGTTGGCTATATGTTAAGGAGTGTTCAGTAGGTTGTGACAGTGCACTGCATCATATTTGATTTCATTTATTTTGGTCTAATTTATTTGTATTTATCAGATTAATATATGTTTAGTATGGTTTTGGAAGTGTGCTCCAACATATTTGTTGATCTTGTTTATTGGTCAAATATTATTTGTTTTAAAGTTCAATAAATGGTCAATGAATAATCGTGATATCAATTATTGACCCAAATAATCGTGATTATGATTTTTGCCATAATCGCACAGCCCTAGTCCACAGTGAATGTATTCCTGACAGCAACAGGTGATAAGAATCAAAGGTTCCCATTGGATCCCATAGGAAATGCATGCGGGTCATTTTGACCCACTTATGGAAGTAATACAAAAACTACAATTTCTTAAAATGTACATTTAAAATGTGAATGGCAAAACATGTTTTTTGAGGAATAGCTGGAATATGAAATGATAAAAAAATGTAATTACAAAGATACTTCAAGAAAACCAGCTCACCGGGTCCAAAAAGACCCACTTATGCATCTAAGGGTTAAGAGACAAATGGCTCATTTATGTGTTTTTAATAGTCTTTGGTCAATAGTAGAGCTCTCTGGCAGAGAAGAATAAGATATATCGAGCTTTCAATTTGGATAATACTTGTAATGATCAGCTCATCGTTGGTTTTGTTCTTTAAAAGGATTTGTTGACAATAAACAACAGATAAAATCAGTACTCTCTCTGCTCGACACAACCAAGACAAATCGTTCTTACCGAAATCTATCAAATTCAGAAAGCCACTTCCAATATCCTCTTTCAACGTGATGTCCTCTGAGCGACACTGGTTCAGTGAGAAGTGGTTCACATCATCGATGTCACTGTTGTGTGAAGAGAGGATGGTGTTAACACAGACCGAACACTTCATCATTAGAAGGTGATCCAAATATTTAACAAAAGGGTTAGCCCTGTTTCTATCATTCAAAACAAAAACATGTTATATTGTAACACTGTTGTCTCCGTCACCATCATTGATCCACTTCTTATAACATGACAGGCTATTCTGTGAGTAAATAAATCCGCTGTATATACACGTCAGGGAGAGGAAACAGTGGCACCTTGGATGTGGCAGCTGGGTATCAAAGTCGGGGAAATCTTCATTCAAGGTGATTGCCTTCAGCGTTGCCTCGAGACCCTCGTCAGGCAAATCTGTTTGACCTGGTGTGTGGAGAGAAACACAATATGTACTGCATTTAGAAATACAAGAGAGCAGAACAACACTCAGTGATTTCACCTCTCAATCTCCTTCTTGAGTGCGTGTTATACTTTTGTATGTGTAAGTCTGTGAAGTGAGAGACTTCCATTGAGCTTACCTCCCAAAATAATTAAATAATAATGTCTACGTCACCCTCTGGTGGCCGTCTTCAATACGAATGCTAATTATTAACCTGTGTTAACACTCAGTTGCAAGTTATAATGCACATTTTAGTTAAACTGTTTAGGTGTTGATTTAACTGTATGATAATTTATCATTTTAACAAAACAGAATAAGCTAAAATCTCTAAACAAGAGGATCAAAAAAGCAAATGTTCTGCCATTTTTGCAAGAAGAAATACTTTAATGAGTTATAATTTCATGTTTGCGTGTTTCTATTTGTTATTTTTATCAAGGTTAGAATCCTCTTGTGAGCCTCTGGTCTATTTCTTATGTTCAAACTAATAAAAAAGATTATCAAAAGTGTTTACCCTGTTTATATTTCAGAAAGCCACAACCCTTTCAAACCCTGTGGAGCCTAACTGTGTCTTTAAAATGTAACAACCGTTGACAGACAAGACAAACAGGATGTGTTACCTGGCCTGAATGCAAATTTTATTTTAACCAGGGCATCAGTGGAGTCTGCGAGGAGATATTTAGCTTTCTTGGAGTAGATCCTGACCACGCCAAGGAGCAGGTGACCAGAGGTCCGCAGACCGATCTTCATCTACAAAGACAAACAGATTCAGTTTATTACAGTAGTCACAGTATATGGGATGTATTGTTGACTTTCTCTTTTACCTGTGGGGAGATGATGTCTTTGATAGTTGTTTCTAAATTACACTCAAATACTTGGGCCTTTGTGAGTTTCCTTTCCCAGTGTGCTGCAAGCCAGATTTTGGCAAGGGGTCCTCGCTTGGAGGTGAAGAGTTGAGTGTAGAACATCATGTTGGGGAAGCGAAGTCAGCTGTCACCTGTGAAAAAACACAACAATGATTGTGTATGATACATTTGGCAATGTTAGTTTATCTGATATTTTATATATATATATATAGTAGTGGAATTAGCAGTCAGCTGTTTATTCAGCCCCCAGTCCAACGTCCTGTTATCCCGACAACAAAAGCCCACTTCTGTTTATTTGATCTATCACAGTTCTTCATAAGTTGTGAAGTACGTCATTAAAACGTTATCTGTTAAATAAAGCAATTTGTCAACAAGAATGTTGTCACTGAACTTAAACTCTAAAACCATCTTGACCGTGGGGCAGAAGGCTTTTGTTTGTATTATAACCAGCGTCGGACTTTCGGTAATATTTTTATAAACTATTGTGGTTTTGTAAAAAAAATTCAGCTATCGTCTTTGCGGTAAAGGTCGGCTAACTAGCATTGCTTTAGCTAGGTGCTATCACTAAGCTAAACATGCTAAGGGAGGCTAGTTGTCGAAATAATGCTGGAAATATTTAAACACAGTTAACAATTTACATGTAAAAAGTAAAACGTGCTTATATAATACAACATGTTTGTACAGCTAGTCGTCCATTAATTCAGCTTCAACTTACCTTAACTTTGAAACTGCCGCGTTTTGACATCTGACATCTGGAACGTGCACATTACCGCGAGGAGGTCACGTAAACAAGTTTAGAATCTGTCACATAACCAAGCAGCGACTTCCGGTCAAACAAACAAAAAAGCCAACGAAAGAGATTTATATGTATTTGTATTATTCATATTTTGGTTAGGTGAGGTTAAAACTCGCCCATTTATTTCGATAAATGATGAAGATTAATACATATATTGTTTTATTTTGTATTGACAATATTTCTCAAACGAACCGTTGAGGTTGCGTCACCACGGTTTGAATCTGACGGTTGGCTCCAGGACGTTCTAAACGTAACGTAAGCTAATAACGGTTAGCAACGTTTAAAGTTGCTCTTCTCATAATAACCGTGTCTTGTAACGTTCATTGTTGAATACAGCAAAGATAATGTTAACTTTTTTATTTAAATAAGCTGGACGGTCAAATGCTAACTCCATCGTGTAACAAGAAGAAGAAGAAGAAGAAGAAGAAGAAGAAGAAGAAGAAGAAGAAGAAGAAGAAGAAGAAGAAGAAGAAGAAGAAGAAGAAGAAGAAGAAGAAGAAGAAGAAGAAGAGCTGAAACTGCTTCAAAAAACACAGTTAATGAAAGCTATTGTTTTAAGCTAACCAGCAGTAGTGTAAAGTAACTAAGTACATTTACTCAAAACTGTACTTAAGTACAATTTGGAGGTACTTTACTAGTTCACTTTTTTGCTACTGTGTACTTCTACTCCACTACAATTCAGAGGTAAATGGTGTACTTTTACTCCACTACATGTATTTAATACCTTTAGTTACTTCACAGATCTGGAGGATGCATGATGTGACATCTAATCAAGTGTTAAATCAGACTTTAGTTCCACCTGGAGTAAATTCACCAGCTACCCTGCAGTATACAAAGTCATTCAAACTAGCTGCACCTTTACCAGCTTTGAGAACACTTTCATGATCAATCATTATAAAACATATCATACAGTATCTATGGAGAAGAGCTTTTAACAGGCAACATCCAGGTGAACTATTGCTGTGTTAGGGCTTCAACTAATATAAAAGTGGAGAGTGTGGGGCCAGGATTGTAGATTTATTGAAAATGTATGAGAATCAATCTATTTATGAAACAAACCTCAGGGGGAAAGAGGTTTTCTAGTAGTTTGGCAGATAGTTGTTCCGCATGGTTTTCCTTTTTGATGCAGAAGGGGGCGGTATTGGTACACTGCCTGAACACACAGACACATGCAGGCAGAGCAACAGCAGGAAGGAACCATGACAGTTTTAATCCTAGTTTCACCTCCTTTAAAACTTGTGTATATAAACTATGGAGAGGCGAAGTCACGCCCATCTACTTCCGGACCATGGGACCCCGGAAGCGAAACATTTACATTGAATTCAATGGAGAGAGAACACATATCTTTTGATCCCGTTTGAATTGTGCCACGAACTACACATATGATGTTTGTCAATCTTAAACAATCATTTCCATGTCAAAAAAGTCACATTTTGTCGTAAAACTGCTGAAATATAAGACTATGAAAAATACGCTACTACAAAGACTACAAATCCCAAATCCCATTCTGGGTCGCGTAAGTGATGTCACAGGCATGCTCGGTGATTTATAATAAGACTCGTAATTAAAGCGAAGAAGAAGAAGATCTCATAACTGATTTATTCCCTCCAATAAATTATAGATCGCTAAAAATAAATTCACTTTTACAAGATGCCTGTGTGCTTTGTACCAGGTTGTAGTCATAAAAGTGATCATACCACTTGCTCCTTCTATCGATTCCCGTCTGATGAAAGGACCAGGAGTCGCTGGATCAGACATATCAGGTAATATCATAGGTAATATACATGTTGTGCATGTTCATGTGCATAGTCAAGTTAGCTACCTAGCTAGTAGCGACGAGTAGCGAGCACGTTAGTTAGCATTACATTACTTAGCCTTGTCATTTTTAGTAGCCTTACCATTAAGTTATTATTTTATTACATGAAGTAAACCAAAATGTTAAACAGTAACCAAACATGATGGTAAGTATTTCGTGAAACATTTGAAGAGTAGCCTACTGCGCCCTCCACCGGGTGCTAAGGAAGCAGTTCAGGGAGAGTCGAAGGCAGGCAGGGAGCTTTGCATGACATTCTTCTGGACGTGTTTCATTGTGATGACAATCTGTTTGTTGGAAAGACAGTCGTTGTGTGCTTATTGAGAGAAAATTGTTAGAAGAGATAATTATTCAAAGTGTTGTTACTTTAAAGTGTTGTTACTGACCTTTTTCTCTTTTATTTTCTTTACCTCACCTGTAACTGCTGAGACGTTGAGGAACATGCACACTGACCTGCTCTGGCAACCTGATTTCCACTGTACGTAATAGTATTTGGTCATGGTATATTATTTATATACATCAAAGGCACAATGCACCCCCCAGAGACACACATGTATTGAGTGTGATATTTTGCATAGGTCATGTGAAATCATCTTTACATACTAGAAAACTGTAGGAGCGGCAACTTGTTTTGAAATTGAATTTTTAATATCCGATAATAAAGTTGATCTGTTTTCTTTATTCTTCTCTCTTCCCAGCTCCATCCATCACCATTCTCTGTTCCTGCAGGTCCTGCTTGCTAATCAATGCTCATATTTTTTTACACAATTACAAATAAAGTCATTGTATTGTATGACATGAAGTTGTGCTTCATTCGGAGTCAATAATAAATTCATTCTGCCTTCAACTGCGCAATGATTGTGGACTGCACCGACATCCATGTAGCTGCCCCCCAGTAAGATGAACCAAGCAAAGAGGGTCCCCATCATGCCCAAGGACATCCAGCTGGCCCGCCGCATCCGCGGAGAGAGGGCTTAGACTGACCTGAGACCAGCACACCCAAACACAACAGCTCTTTTAAGAGCCACCTACAGTTTCAAAGAGTTGCAATCCTACGTTATTATAATGATTAAACTGGTTCATGTATCACTTAGTTTACTGAACCGTGATGAATGAAAGTGAAATGAGTGAGGTAGTGGTTTACTGAAGTTACAAAGACATTAATATATGAGTAACAGGTCAGTATAAACACAAGCTTCTGTCAATTATGGATCATTCAAACTATTTATATAAAAATATGTAATAAAGTTCTAAAACAAGTATTCGGTATATTCCTTGATAGCTTTTGGAGAAGGTTGTTTTTAAGTTTACTAAAATCTATCGTTTCAACTGTTTCACTTTATAAAAAAGGAACAGGTGAGTAGAGCATCATTGAGTTTCTTATTCTGTCAGTAAATTATCCAAATGAATGTTTTTCATTATTTTAGTCAACCCTAAACAAATTGATTGTACCTTTTAATGATGACCTTACATGGTTGGCAAAGTTAAATTAACTTCAGAAAATCAAATCTGTTCTGAGAAAAAACTAATACATGTTTAAAGATAGGAACTTGCCATCCCACTGAAAAACAGTCCGTAGAGAATTAAAGGCGTAGTTGTAGTTCAGTCCAACTTTCATTTGGATTCATTTCTCCAACAGTCAACTATTTTCATAAAGAATATATATATTTTTCAAAGTCAACTTTATTGTCAATCTTACTCAGTTTGAGAGATCAAAAAGACGTTTAAATAAAATTATACAATTTACAGATATGTATACAAATATATATATCCTATATACACCATCATGTATAATGATGGTGTATGATGTAGAAGGAAGTGTGGTAGATAACAAGTAAATATAGAGTTACATACAGATCCATGTTACAGCAAAAGATGGAATAACTCAGAAGCACGCAGTATAATAATAATTACATGCAACAATTAAATAACTGCTCAGCATCTCCACCACAATCCCAATCTGCTGTGTCCTGTTTTCCTCCCCTCTGCATAACACCCCATCACACATACGAAACACAACGCAGAGTCCGAGGGTGTTAAGAGTATGTTTATTGAAATGTCCTCCTCTCTACTGGCCAACACAGGGAGCATATGCTGGGTGTAGAATTGTTCCAGGAGGAGGAGATTTCCATGCCATGCAGGGTCTTTGGGGATGGGGATGATGATCGCCTCCTTCGTGGTCCACACAACAAAGTAGCAGAGACTCCGGTCTGTGATATGCAGCTGCCCTTGGACCTGGTGCCAGTATGGGTGATTCTCCTTGAGAATATATGACCCACCCTCCTCACGGAGACAGAAGGATGGTAACTGGACTGCCTCCGCGATGGTCATGTTCCTCTGGCTGTGTGGACACTTCACCTCCAGCAGGGCAGATGGCTGCACAAGTCCATCGGGTGATGCTCCCAAAACACCCGACTCACTCACAAAGAGACCAGACTCGATTCGAACACTGTCACTTGATGCCTCCACAAAAGCCTCCACAAAAGCCTTCACCCCTTCGGCTTCGTTTACAACCCCCCAGTTGACAGTTGGCGATGTCTCTGGCCAGTGGGTTGTATGTCTCCTCTCGCTGTTGGTAAAGTTGAGACACCGGCAGGACTACTTTGGAAGTGCCAGGCTTCCTCCACTAGCACTCAACATCTGTGGAGCTGATCTGCCACATGGCAAATATTGACAATGCTGCCGCGTGGCTGCATTTGTACATCTCCTGTGCACAATCACAGACAGCGCTCTGCATCGCGCCATCGTCTCCCATGCAGATCTGTAAAAATAAAGTAAGTACCATTTGTTAGCATGCTATAATAGATTGAATGAGCAATAATACAAGGATGGTCCGGATCTGGGGGTGGGAGGGTTTATTTTTCCATAGTTTTGTCCTCTTGTCTGTTGTTATTGTTTGTTTTTTCTGTATTTTTTGTAATTTGTGTTGTATTGGTTGTGATTGTACATTGTATTTTTCTAAATGTGTATGAATACATTTTTGAAAAACATTTGATCAACAATAAAAAAAGATTTGGTCAGGATCTAGACTCAGTGTGTAGTTTATTAATTAATCAATGCTCTCTACATTAGGAAAACACATACCGGTGTACCAGAGGGAGTCACACACAGCTGTGCCTAGATAACCAAAATCCTTGAATCTACACACAGCAAATAAAGTCAAATGACACAACGAGAAAAAGGAGATCACACATACAGTATAGTCGATATAAAACTGGCCGCTTCAATCTGAAGAGCAACTAAAACAAAACACGGGAGTGTACCTTGTTCTTGTGAACACTAATGTTATCCACAGCATACACAGAGACCACGAAGTTCTTAAGGAGAAAACTAGTTGTTAAAACAAAACACGTTACTGTACCTTGTTAGCTAATGTTAGCTAGCTGACATTAACGTTACACATTGCACTCATATTACTAGTGATGTTACGTATTGCGCCGAGGCTTCGGAGCGTGTGTCGAGTAATCCCCGAAGCTTTTTGTGAAGCATGTATCGAGGCTTGTATCGTTTTGGGCCAGTGACGTCATCGATGACAAACGAAGCCTCGCTGACTGTCGATACCACGTGACTGCTTCAGGAAGCGATTCAGATCGGTTGAACCGTTGAACCACAACGCTCATAATACCCATGGATGTATAATAAGAACCATATTACCCCTCCTGTACCCGGGCCCGCTGGTGACACGATGGAATCAAGAGAGCTCAGACCCTCACCTATATAGAGGTCGGAACATGTCATAAGTATAAATAGATACAAGCATAAATAAATGTAGGAAAAAAAAACATGAATGAATAAATATGTTACAGTATTTTCAGGGAGATTCAGCGTGTGTGCTGTGGCTCAGCTGGAAAGCAGTTGACTTACGATCGCAGGGTTCCTGGTTCAACGACTCGTCAATACGTCTTTTTTGTTGTTTATAAAAGCTACAGCTAAATGAGATAATGTAGTTAATAAATGTATTCTTTGATATGGTTTAGCCTTTCTCAGGCTACAACATGGTTACGTTTATGAATATTATTAAGGAATACAAATCCCTATTTGTAATGTTTACCAGCCTCCTTAGGCTTTTCAATCACAATCATTCAACTGGAATAAAAACAATATTGTTAACATGAAAATATGATTTAATGTTCGTTGTTTAGAGTTATTCTAAGGCTTTACTCAATGGGAACTCGGTATGAGATAGAGCACACTGTTGAGATGTCCAATCTGCCTGTTTTACACACTTTGACCAACAGGGGGTTTGTGTTCAAATGAAGCCCATGATGAAGCCTCATGAGATGAACCCTTTTGCGAACCAATTGGCTGGAAAGCTTCAAAGCTTCATAAGGCTTCATCTCGCCATCACTACATATTACTCACCAAAACCTTGTAAAGCCGGTCCCGCATGCTGGCTCTTACAGAACCGACTAACTCCCCTTTCATATAGGTACAGCTCTCAACTTGCCCAGACTTGTAGTGATTTTCACCTCGTAAAATAATTGTATTCTCATTCTGAAAGAATGTGGTGAAATGTGCTAACGTGACGGCCATCTTTATGTTGGTGACGCGTATTGTGCGACACCAGAGACCTGTAGTTCACTGAGCGGTTTCACACAAAAAAATGTGTAACTTCACAGTTTTACGACACATTTTTATTTTTTTGACTTGCAAAATGTTCTTTTAAATTGACAAACATCATATGTGTCATTCGTGGCACAATTCAAACGGGATCAAAAGATAACCTTTCTCTCTCCATTGACTTCAATGTATAATTTTCCGCTTCCGGGGTCCCATGGAGGCTTTCGGAAGGGGAGGGACTTCGCCTCTCCATAGAAGAGGCTTGGTCAGGGGGACACAATCAACACAATCTATTCGTTATAGGTTTAAAAATATCCTAATTCTGTAAATTGAAAAGAGAAGGTCAAAGATGGGTTTGGGTAACAGTAAAACAGGAACATGTGTTGTCTGGGGATGCAACATGATTGAAAGAGAAGGATGAAAGGAATATAAAAAGGTTAGAAAAGTGTCAAAGGAGCTATAATTTCACGGGAAGACTAGGGGTCGAGGAATGTGAGAATCTGGTGAGGGGTATTCCCAAACATCTGGAACAAACTCCCAGAAACCTGCAGGTCCGCTGCGACTCTGACTACTTTTAGATCCAGGCTGAAGACTTTTCTGTTTGCCGCTGCTTTTAATTGAACTATTCACATCTCACACTGTAACTTTTACTCATGTACCTGTTATTCATGTTTTATTATCTTTGCTTTTTAATGTTTCTAAGGTGCTCTTAATGTCTTTCATTGTTGTAAAGCACTTTGAATGGCCTTGTGTTGAAAAGTGCTAATATAAATAAACTTGCCTTGCCTATTGCAACCCAATAAGAAATCTGCGTAAAATGCAGGTTTAACTAAAGTTATATTTCATCTTTGAGACGGTGCTTTGCCTAATATTTATTATTGACTAATGACATTGAATAATATCAACAGATATGTTAAATACTGTATCCAATAAGACTTTGATTTCCTGTCTGTTTTGACTTGACTCAGGTGCAGTGGCTTTAAATTGTATGCAAAAAAATACTAAATCAATTAATCCATTAATAAAATATTCAATTTCTTTTTAAATGCCTTGTTATTTAGGTCTAATAGTTTTACACCAATATTATAAGAAATCCAAGTAGATGCATCATACAAAACCACTGATATGACAGTTTTTTAAATGTTGCCCGTCATCCATTTATTACCTGTTTTTTAAGTATTTATTTCAATGCATTATCATAACTATCTACATTTTGATGAATGCAGGGAGAAGGCGACGTCACGATGGAACTGTCAGACATCACTGGGGACTTCTCAGCAAAAAGGTAGGACGAAAAAACCTAAACACTCTATCTTGCTTTGGTGCTTTCTTCCATACTTCAGAACACAAATAGTCCCGAAGTCTCCGCCGAGGCAGCGATGTCAGTACGATAAATATTATCATGCCAAGAACAATTTGTGTTCTGCGCTAGCTGTGAGCCCGGGGTCGTGTGACTGTACAAGAACAGCTGGTGTGGCAGGTCATGATCTGCATTTCAAGAGAGAGCGAGAGCGAAAGGATGAGGATGTGCAAAGTTCTGGATATTGCATTATCTCTTGAAGCAGCTCCTAATTGAAGCAGTTCTTTATTTGTCTGCTGTGCTGAATAAACTCCATCTGTGAGGGCAGACAGGGTTTTGGATAATATTGATGATCATGTTGACTGTAAAGTTTCCATCTGTTGGGAGGCAGATGGAAAAAGTCCTCTCTCTCTCCAGAAGAATCACATAAAGGTCACAGTAATCAAAAACTGGGCAGAGAAAACCGTTTCAGATTTATGGCTTTAGAAACATTCAGATTATATAATGTGTCATGTATGAGTTATTATTTGTCGAGTAAAAAGCTTATCCTTGAGACATTTTCTTATTTCATTTGGAAGTTAAGTCAATATTTTATGAACATTTGTCTCCCTGTTCTCTGTAGATATCTTTATCTATTTATTTTCAGTTTAGCTCTGAACATATTGAACAGCATGGTACCCAAAGCGTGACTCCAATTGTAGTCGCAGCAGAAACTTGACCTGGTTAGTGAGAACTCTGAGAAACAAAACAAAACAAAAATAAACTTTTTTAAATTAAATTAGATATCTGTTATAGATTGTAGGTTGTTTATTCTGTCCCAACATGGGATCATGCCCCTTCTTTGTTGATTAGTACATTGATTAGTTGTTGTGATGAATATTTCTTTAGCCAATCAGTCGTTTCTTCATGCTGATTGACTCATTTCCAAGAAACCTTGAGGACAGCTCTGGTAAACACAAGATTCAAAGTGATGCTTTTTGCATGATTGTCTGTTGATAAATTCTATTTTAAGGTCACCTATCATGCTATTTTTAGACAATAGACGTTTAGCAATTATGCCACATCAAGGTGGAACGCTCTTCCCACAACTGTAAAGGAAAGTAAAACTATACTTACCTTCAAAACCTCTCTTAAAGAGCACCTTCGGGGGAGAGCATTGCAAAACTGGCCCCGGTAATGGTACAAATCTCAACCTGTCGTTCAATGGACAGCTTCCCCCCCCCATCTATGTATATACTCACATTTTAGACTCTGTTACTAACTGTATATCTGTAGACTTGGTATGTCTTAAATGTCCGGTTAGGATGTATTAGAACGAAATCTAAAATGAAAATTGTAAATAAGCAATCTGTATGTAAAAAACCACCTGTATGTAAATTGTAAATAAGCCATCTGTATGTCAAATATGTCTTATATGTCTTAAATGATGTGATGAATTGGAAATGGGGGACCCTGATGTAAACAAGACGAAAGTCTTTCTCTGGTCTGCATCCCCTTAACAATTGTATGTTTTGAGCTGTACTGTACTGTACCCAATATACAAGCTGTTAATAAACTTTTCAATCAATCAATCAAGCATAGGTCTCAGATATATACAAATATATAAAAAACATGTCTATGAAGTGTTTTGCTCAAAATACCAAACTGATCACCCATTCTAGCCATGCCTCATATCCCTCTATTTCACTTCCTGTTTAAAAAGTGTTGATTCTAAGTATAAAGTTTAAAAAAATGATAAAAAATAGGGGCGGAGCTTATGCCTGTTCATGCGGGAAATTCTACCGGCAGATACTGCCGTGATGAAACGCCATATCATGGATTATCAAGGATTATCTCTGAAACAGTTTGGAGCTCAAAGGCTTTCTCTCTTGCCGGTTATACCACAAGGTGAGTTCCTTTGTACTTCCTGCTTCTTCACACACATGCTCTCCAGTACAGGTTAGCTCTGAGGGTTAGCGATGCTAATGTAAACAAAGACCATATTACGTCCAAAACAGTCGGGCATTGTTTCTGATAGCAACGTTTCTGATTGGCCCGTGGGTCCACATTTCAGATATTACGTCATATCGGACGCAAATCTGGATCAGCTCCGTTGTTCCCCCGTTTTTAGAGATTTGGGTACGGAGGAAAAGAGAGAGGGTTTATTTTCTGACGCTGCGTGAGTTCCCTGACACACCGGGGACACATGTTGATGGAGAGAAGACATCACAAAGTGCATTTTGCTTGATAGGTCCCCTTTAAAAGTTTGTTGTGTAGTCGACAAAATCGCATTATAATTCCTTTAGTGGAGTTGGACCGCCCTCCTTTGGACTTGATGGTGTCCTGTTGTCTTGAGCACTGGACCAAACACATGTTTAATAAAGTGAATCTTAATCAGATAAGAAAAAGACCCACTCTTAAAAATATACAGATTTCTGTTTGGTTGTTCTTAGATTTAAGCTCTCCTTCTTATTTGTGCATTGTGTAGATGCACACGCACATTATATTCAGAGTGTTGGCGCACCCCCCCAGCTGTAGCTTTGCTGTCATCATGATTTTGCTCAAAGTACTTCTCCTACAATGCTGGAGCCAAACAACGACGGGGAGAAGCTGCACTCTCAATGAAGGAGTGCAGTGCATTAAATAAGTCTCCTGGAGAGACAGTGCTTTCTCAGATTAACATCTCTAATTTAAGGATTCAAACATACATTTAAACACCTCATTAATTATTCTCTAAATGACAAATCGGTTTCTCTAACAAACCAATTTGTTCCTTAGTTCAGACAAATAATTGAATTCATGGATAGTCCAAAAAAAAATCCAAACACATCTCATTATTCTGCGTGTCGACACACAATTGCCTCAAATGCATTTTCACAATATGGCGTTGATCTTTATTTGATCAACTCAGTGGGATTGGCAGGGAGTTGGTCGAAACAAAGATGGGGTTAAACTGCATCATTTGTATATGAAAACAGTCTTATTCAAAGACGTTTCATGTGGAAGTGTGATTTGTATATTGGTCATACCTTATGCTGGGGCCTAGAAGACAAACATCTATGCATCTCATTACTAAAAGTGAAGTATAGTGAAACATGGCTTACGTCTCTGTCACACTTTGCCCTAAAATGCAGATTGTATTTAAAGTCAAGCAGTGTTCATGCATGTTCGTTGACTTGTCTCTTCAAACATTACGGAGTGTCCACACAGCAGCGTGCGTTGACGATTGGAGGTGGGCGTATCTGAAGCTTGGGGATTTTATGCGAGCAACACGACCAACAACCAATCACCTGAATCTCCCGCCCCCGACATACAAAGCAATAGCAATGTTAAAACGAAGTAAACTGGATATAAAATCCCCAAACAGGCGAAAACCTACCAGTTTCACCCACTGTCTCTGCCTCCTCCCTCCATGCCTCGCTCCTCCGGTTTGTATCCCGGTAGATGAACAGAGACTGATCATACAGCACCGGGTGATTCACTACCACTATAATGAAATTTCCCTCCATTTTTTTGAATATGAGAAAATGACCTGCGTAGTCTCTCCCAGCATACACGCGGTTTGATTGGCTAGTGCTTGTACTGGCAGATTTGCATAAACGGGATTTAATTGGCTGACGCCTCCGTCGAGGCGTCAAAAGTTGAACATTGCTCAACTTTTGACGCCAGCAACGCTCCACGTCGCTTCCCAAAATGCAGTTCGGCTAAAGGTGACTTCACCCCATTCAAAGTGAATGGGAAGAAGCGTTGGAAGCTTCAACGCACGCCGCTGTGTGGACGGGCCGTTACAGCTTTTGTTTTAGAAAGTGACGACAGATCTAAAGTTGTTGCACAGCAGCTCATGAATTTCAATCCACGATCACACAGGAAGATCGAGCAGCAAAGTGAACTCCCTCCTTTGTAGAACATTGGATTGGCTTTGAATTGAAACCTGGTGTGCCCGGGAGGCAAAGCCTTCAAAGAAACACTCACTCAGACATAATTACATATAGAAGGAACTCCAGGCACGTCGCTTTTGGAGGATCAAATAAACGGGTAGAAATCAAATGTTTTTTCCAAAGTTCTTTTCATTTAATTACTTTTTCTTTAGTAAAAAGAGCTGAATAAGCTTTGCTTTTGATACGGCTGTCAACAAAAACAGCCTTTTTATTAATATGCACACATGGAGCCCACACACAGTCTCACAGCAAAAGGCTCTCTGTGTTCTGTCTTGACTGAAAGCAAGCCGTCTGTCAGAAATCCCAAAAGTGTAATTGATGAAATATAACAGTAAATGCGCACACATTGGCACAAGAACATATTCTTACAGTACAAGACAAACAATAAGAGCATTATTCCAATATGCATTAGAGATGCATTTAAAGGTCTGTCCTATTATTCAAATATCAACCGTAATAAAGACATTTTATTTACTTATTGTTATTATCAATTAGGAAAATATTGACTTGCTTGATCACAGCTAGGTAATAACGAACATATTATTTGATCACCTGGACACCTGTACTGTGCAAACTCTATTTTGGGGGGGTTTTATCTGGCAGTGTACAGAGAGCGACCCGCAGGCTACAGCAAAGTGGAAATAAGACTCCATCCAAAGCTTTATTCTTAGCATCAACTAATGTGCCCCTGGAGGCTTAAAGCGGCCAACAAGAGAAATGAAATAACTCATTTTTCCAAACAGAAAACAGAAGCTGTCAGAATGACTCTCTGTTACAATGGACTCACTGGTTTCAAACATCCATATTCCAGCCTATATGGGGGGGGGGATACCTCCATCATTTAGGTTGTTAATACCGCCGCAAATGATAGGCAACATGACTTTTGGTATCTGAAGCATCCTGGTTTCAATTTGTTGTCCTGTTGTTGTCCTTTTGTAGTCCAATTAGTATCGACCAATCACATTCAGGCAGGCTTTGGTTGCATGCAGGTAAACAGTCCGTGTGGAAAGAGGAGGAATGTGTTGGCATGAATATAATCTGAGAACCCTTTGGCTAAGATTTATCTTT